ATGAGTATCATGATTTATACATATTGGGTAGAATATCGATTTTTCACATAAATAGAACGGACTGGTACGTTGCGGCAGACATCATCAGTCTCCGTTTCGTTGGGTAGCAGAGTACTTGTTGCAAGTATTACCTAATTCGGTAAAAAAATTCACAACTCATCCCAAAAAATGTCGGTAGTTTTTTCTTCCATCCAATTTGTTGGCACCTTGGGAAAATAGGGAGGTAAAATAGGAAAATGAGGAAAATATGGCCTCTAATCGAAATCTCTTCCAAAATTTTTTCCAAAACTAACAAATAACAAAATTTACATGTATCACGAACCAATGAAAAACAATAATGATGGCCTATTAGGAGCTCCGCCTTTCAATAAGTCAAAAACATACTCTCTGACGTACCAATACGGTTCGATTCCCTCAAAAAAATGCGCCGTTGCCGAACTGTATAATTTGCCTCCGTATTTACATAATTCGAACGATACGGAACAATACTTATCATTCATTTGATAAAAAGTTCACATTTAGACTTCACGTTCATCAGATTATTGATGTTGCAATGTTAACTTCAAAACGCAAGCGTTTTTTAAAATTTGGATTCAAACATGCTAAAGGCATCCTTTGAATAATCAAAATAGGTTACCAATAGATAAAAAGTGAAGACACGTCTGAGAAAGCTGTTGTAAAGCGAAACACGTGTTGCGTTTTTGTAAAACTGTTCCGGGAAAATCTCACAATAAAGTGATTCTCGTGTTAGGAATCACATGTTAAAAAATAAGACCTCGTTAGGCCTTAGCTCGCACAAGTTTCTCAACTTCTGACAGTTGTCGTTCGTATGGGGGCGACAGCTGATTAACGGAAAAACAGATTTTGAACAGATTTTTCAAACAGAATACGTTATGGTTTTGGCCAAATCAATTACAAAAAATAACTTTTCCCACTCATCAGTTTCATTCTGAATTCAACCCAAAAACTGAAATGGCACATGCAACCCCTTTTGGGAAGTTATTTACTGTTTATTACCGAATAACGCATCATAATTGGTTAATCATGTACGCCAATATCTGAAAATCGAACTGGAATGTCATCAAAATTCCATCAGCTGCTGATAGCAGTGGCTAATTACGTTTGATCATGGAATATTATTATTTCGTTTTAATTTCTGGTTCATTTCAGATTGATGCTTTATCAAAGGCCCGTATTTTTTCATATTTAGACCACAATATGTCCATCATTAGTGAGAATACATTCAATAAACCTGATGAAATACGTAGAATATCATTTTATTGAAATTATTCCATTCGTTTTTTTCATATTTCTAAATGACTTCCGTATTTGGACTTTGCAGACTTTCAGTTTGAAAATTTTGTTCTTCATTTTTTGAGGTTGACCCGATTCGACTATATGTGACTGTGAAGATCTGGGAATTTGTCAGTTATCGTCCAAACACAATTATGAATACTGTTACGTTTTTCACGAAAATAACCATCAAATCAAACTTTATTACACTACTATACTGACAATACAGCTCAAAAACTCTAAACTCTGACTGAACTTCAGACTAATGGTCAAATGTCTATGGCCTAATTAGCTCACTTCTCACTGCACTTTCCGAACTAGACTGCTTCACCTACGTTTCGGTATAGCTTATATATCTCAAACTCTTTCGAAGCCGATGGAACAAATTTTGAATATACGCGCATCCAAATAGAGCAACAGAGACAGAGAGAGAGATACGAGTGAGGCAGAGCGCAATCTTGACCAATTCGCAGTTAGTCGGCGACGACCATCGTCGGCCGACGCTATTTTTTCAGGGGATAATTTACAGCAATACTAACAATCACTTCATGAAGAAGCTTGGTTTGGAATTTTTTCCCATGTATTTTTTATTTTTTCATATGCATCTCTATTGATTGTATGTATGTATACTTTACTCATTGTTCAACCAATTTCTCGCTTCATGTCTCTTTTGTGTCACACTGATTGGTTTTCTTTGCAAATCAGTGTTCTTACATTTTCTGATTTCATACAACGTTCTCCCCATTTTTATATCATTTCCAAAAATGTTTTGATATTTTCAATAACTATAATGTTTTCAATATTTCATTAATTTTTTCTATTCCTCCTCAAAGATTTCAACTGTATATACACGTTTTCATTCAATGTTTGTTTGATGGCATTTGGAGCGGACATTGAGAGTTTAATCGAAGTTGAACTAAATGAATTGATACGAAACGAATAAAAACATGGCGGCCGGAGTCACGAATAGAATAACAAATTTCGGGTTGGTAGGCCATGGTCGATTGGAACTCATAGTAACAAATGTTTCGCCTGATACGGCAGACATCATCAGTGGTATATGCGTTGACTGTGAGAACGAGGATCATACCCCAAAGTCTCAGCGACGACAGACTAGCGACGCAGAATGTCATCATGATTTTATCCAGGGTTGGAGACCAGCTCCCCTACCCTTTTGGCTGATTGTTGGTCTTGAGAGGGACCAATGGGTTCATGACTGAATTGGTGGCGGCATGAAGTCCTTGGACATCAGTGCCGCCCTTCACGGGATACCCCTACCTGGCTGGGGTGGGATGGATGAAAAAGTTATTCNACCCGCGCTTGCCAATCAATCTCCCTTCCAGAGATTCTCACTTTCAACAGACTAGCGAGTTCCTTGCTCCTCGTATTTATGATTTTCTTGGATGGTGGTGGGTATGATAGTGGGGATTGTGGTGGGTGTGATGGTTTGGATGGTTATGGGGGTGGCTTGTCCATGCGAATGCTCACTCTTGATTGTTTCACACTTTTGCTGGGTTGTTCTGATTGGCCCTCGATGTTAACAAGTAATCTGCTCGTAGAATGTCGGTCGGAGTTGTGTTCTAGTTCATTTCTTGCCTTCTTGAGTTTTGGATACCACATTTTGTTGACCCGTATACCTACCTTCGTCTTCTCTGTTGAAATTGTTGAGATGTTCACGAACCTCAATGGCATTCCTATTTGTGCGTGGTAATGCGTTGAATTAAACAGGACACTATTTTCTTCATATTGTAAGTAGTGGTCTGTTTGTGCTAGGACATGTGCTGCGGATTCCTCTGGTTGCATAAGACGGCAGGTTCGCTTGTGTTCTTGTATAATGGTGTTGATGTTGCGTTTGGTAGTTTCGATGTAAACTGAGCCACAAAAACAACAATTTCTGTAAACAGGTCAGTTGCAAAATTGATCAGTTGGTTTGTGAATGGTCTGAGAATGTTATAACCGTTTGAACGGTTAGAGTATCGCCACAAAAGGTAGCGGGAAAGATAAGAAAGTTGTCTGCGTGTATCTTCTAGTATGCTAAGTCGTCCGAATCGAACATCAGTGCCAAAGAACTTGAAACACTTCAAAAACTGAATACTGACAAGGAGATCATCATACTTTTCATGTATAAAGGCAACGCATTGCTAGTTTTCAATACCAAGGACTACAAACAGAAAATACTTGATCTTCTGGACCCATTAACCTACAAGATACTCCAGCGTGACCCTACAATCAATATGCTGAAGAAAATCAACCGACTCATCGAATATTCTTCAATTCCAACTGAAGAAAAGGGCCATCTGCGAAAGATTGAAGGCTCACCACTTAAACTCTAAGACCCTCCTAAGAATGACAAGCCAAACTTTCAACTTTGCCTAATTGTACACGTCATTGGTTCTCTTACTTATCTCCTTGCGAAGTACCTAACCTACTGCAGCTATATGAAGAAAAAGGAGAATTTCAGTTCATAGAAAAAACAAGTATAGTCGAAGTAACCGATATAGTAATCTTAAAGGTATCGGCGAAGTCAAAGGCTAAAAAAAACAATACAAAGGAATTATGCCGCAACGAATTAGTCCACTTGAACTGTACTTGGTATCTGCACCTGAATGCTACTCTGGTTAGTTCCAAAGTCGTTTCTTTTTTCACCATTGTACCAGCCAACAAGATGTTGCAGCCGATCAAACGAAATTTTTTGGGGGACAAAACATCACAACTACATATTCCCAATAGAATAACTGTTTTTATGAGCAAGTGGATGAAGTCGCCATAGAAAGTTCTCCCACGCTTGTGGTTGCAAATTTCTACATGGGAGTTTTCGAGAAGGAAGATTTAATAAATGTTATGGTGGAATCTGAAAGTTTTATGTGAACCAACATCGATATATCGTAGTACCTACTTAATCCGTTTTCCAGAAACAGACAAACCATTTCCTTTCTCGACAGTGAATATTTTTGCGACTAACAGTCATTGAAAAAATGATTTATTCCCTGCCTCATCTGCATTGGCAATCCTGAACATTATTCAAGGGTGATATCTCCCAAGGAAATGTTGACAACAAAACGACAATATCGTGTTTTTATAACACAAAACCCCGAAAGAAATATTGAATATGTTAATTTTATTGGGCACGGCAATCTCGGCGTTTTCCGTCTGGTTCATTTTTCTTTATTGGAGCGAGGAATCTGATTTATTCTAGAAATGAACAGATCCTCGGATCGGAAAGAATTGAAAAGCTGAGCAGTTAGTATGGTTATTCAGTTCAGGAAAGGTTATATCTTCTTTTTTTCCAAATAAATAACAGTCAATGGAATTTGACGAAAATACAAAGAAGGAGAATGTGTAACTTGTGTGAGTATTCGATAAAGAGAGAAGCTATATTTTGTGTAGATTTTCTCGAACAGGAAAGTTCTCGAATATGTGAAATGCAACTTTTATGTGAGAATGAAGAAACCTAATCAATCGTAACTAACTTCAGCAGTGAAGAAAATAATTCTCAGGTGAATACTCCAGTACCTGAAGATGATCTTAACCAATTTTACTGTACTGTCCTGTTGTGTTAGACGAGTGATATTCTACAAGATCTGCGGGTTGAATAATTCTAATTAGTTACTCAGCATCTGGGTAGCATTAAGTATTGAACAATGTTCCAAATTTTTCTGGATGTTTCGTCAAAACTAATTGCTCAATTCTGACGAACTCTTTTTTTTTTCAGTCATGGTACTCGATGTGCCGGTGAAGTAGCTGCTGCTCGAGATAATGGAATATGTGGAGTAGGAGTAGCATATGACTCAAAAATAGCAGGTGAGTGAAATTTGCACTTCTCTATTTTTTAAAACCTACTTCGATATTTTATAAAATCATACAACGTAGAAAGCAAGATACCCAATGGTTTCAAGCAGGCCAAGCGTTATTTCAGTCGCTAAAATTACAAATCATAGTCTTTGGTAAGGAACCAGATTAAGAAGTGGGTCTGTAAGAAACATAAAGAGTACTGGAAAACAGCAGAACGCATCGATATGAGAACAAAATATTCATTCTCAAAATAACGAGAAATTTCAACAAAAATGTCTGTTCATAAATGACTGAACTCAACAATAGGATTTCATTTATGATCTGAGTGACCTCCAGTTTACTCAAAACCCCTTACAACTCGTAGAAAACTGGAATTAGAAATGGAGGACCAGAACTTCTAGGAGTTCATTGTTGAATTCTATTGTGCCTTGACATGAGACTGCAGAGCCGGCTCCCAAATCACCTGACTTTCTTGACAAGATGCATTAACTGTACGAGACGTACTCTTTTCGATTTTATTTGAATTGCTACTATTCAGAATAATGTTTAGAATGGAATTGAAAATGTCTGTTTTAACGCTGTTGAGGAGAAGCTTTGAAGGAAATAATCGGTTAAAATGTGTGCAAATATGTAATTTTTGAAATTTTGCAATCAAATGTCTTGAGTGTATGATAACTTGGTGAAATCTCGAAACCGTAGGTTTTAAATTGTCACGAAATCATTTACTCAAAATTCAATCGTACAAGCTCGATTGAGCTTGTATGCGAGATATATGTTGAGATTACTACCAGAGAAAAGAAACGGTCATATAGGCTCAAAACATTTCAAATTTTGGGACTGACATGAAATAGGAGCAAAAATTCATGCTAATTTAATTTCAATCGGTTAACAGATCTAATGCATCGATTCGCTTTAAAACTCTGTAACCGCTGTCTAGTCTTCTTTCACCAATTTTGAAAAAAGGAAACCCCACCATCATGGAGAACTATAGATCCTTAACAGTACCCCACGGTATTAAGTAAGGTGTTTGAGAAGTGTGTGTTTAATAAGATGTTTAAATTTTTTGGACAAGTTTAACATAATAACCAAATTTCAATACGGATTTTGGCGGGGTAAGTCGAGTGAAAGTACTTTATACCAGTTTTTTGAATATATTTCTCATCAGGATTAGAAAAAGTACGTTGGTGCTCTTTTTTTCGACTTATCCAAGGCATTCGATATCAGTACTCATGAAATACTCTTGAGTAAGTAACACTCCCTAGAATTCAGAGGGAATGTCAATCACAACCACACGGTAATGACTATGGAGTCCCTTAGGAATCCATTTCGGGACCTCTGATGAACCTGATTTTCATCAGTGATATGCCAGAACATGTGAATACAAACCGAATAATTTTATATGCAGACCACACAACCCTTGCTGATGGAAAGGGTCACAGTAAGTATTCATAATGTGAATTCGTCAGACTGTACTAAATTTCATGATTCCTATGTTGACAGCAACATGAATTGGGAGTCGGGTGTGAGTCAGATCAGAAATTGAACTGTGGTTATTATTTCTGCTGCACCTTTGGAGTAGTTATGAATATTACAGGAGTTTCCTCCCAACACCAAACCGACACGTGTTTCGATCACCGAGTGATCATCTTCAAGAAGAAGATCAAACTGTTCAATACTCTTCCTGAAGATGATCACTTGGTGATCAAAATACTTGTCTAGGTGTTGAAATAACGGTTTGGTGTTGAAATAAAACTCCAGTTATATTGTTGTTATCATATTATAATATCATCTACCTTCAGTACTGATCAGCTTTTAAATGTTCATTATGCTGTTATTCGTTCCCGCGTCTTTCACGATGTGGGGCTGCTCCATTTTAAATAACATATATAGTGCATTTCTTTATTGAGAAAGAGAGAGAGAGAGAATGTACTTTATTGTCATAAGATTGATCTTGTGGACAAAGTTTCACTTAATCTATAAAGCAATTATATATAACAACAAAGTTCAAAAAATGAAAGGTAGGGGGACATTGAAGAAATGCACTGTATATACAAAAATATTCCTAACATTTACACAAGCGTCTCTGCAATTCATATTTTCATGCATATCCTACAAGAAATGGTAATTTCGTAAAGTTCAAAAACATTCAACTAATTTATATGAGAACCGTCCATCTTACGTAGGAGCAAAGCTTTTTAATAATCTTCCCGATTGCATGAAAAGGGAAAATCCAGAAAAGAATTACAAACAGACCCTGAAAGAATTCCTGGTTAACGGTTCCTTTTACAGTGTTGCTGAATATCCAAGTCGATGATATTATATTATATAGATATTCATTATATTTCAATTTTCTCTTGTGTTTGTGTGAGATACTTCTATATATCAATTAGTTATATCTCACGTTTTTGTGGCGATTTTTATAAATGTCGACCTATCATATATTACCTTGTGATCGTAAATGATTTAATACATTATTATTGATGCATAAAATAATGCATGATAAAACTATTATGAGATTGAACCATATTTGCTATATCAGAATTTCAAGTTGAAAATATTATCATTCAATGACTTTCATGTTCACTGCATTCCCAGGGGTTTGACAGCTTTGTTAACTTCCCCAATAAATAACTATGTATCCCTAAATCCTCCAAAAATTACCTGAAACTAATTGGGGCGCTAATTAAATTAATTGCTCGTTATATACATTTCTCCAAGAAGACTAATGAGCTTATCTGGGCTATAAAAAAGACGATGAATTCACTGGTTTCAGTTAGGGGCTTTAACCCTCCGGTAATAAATTCCTCGTTGATAAAACATCAGAATAATCACTAATGATGTTTTGTCTGGGTAATTTCATTCCTCCTCGAGGAAAGGTCGCATTATCTTCAACTCATTAGACGGAATACTCTGGGTTCCACTTTAATGCATAAACAATTAACGATTTTGTATCAGATTGATGAATATGAAGGAAATTTCCCTTTTTATTCATGAGGAAATAAATCAAATGAGATTTTTCAGAATTCAGGAATAGGTGATGATGAGAAATCAGTGGGTGCCAAATCAGGCTGTTCCGGATACTCTTTAACTCGATATATCCCAGACCAGAACATCCTTGAGAGGGAAATAATGATTCACAAAATATCTTTCAGTGGAGTTAGGTAAGGTTAGGTCCAAAGTGAGTGGCCCTCCACTGTAACCCACAAGGATTTATTGTGACTCACACCTATTCAATCTTGGCCAAATATTCCCAGTTTCTAAATGAAGCTGATTAGCATATTCGGTGAATGGTCTTTCAGGACAGATGACAAGAGTGAAACTCTGATTTGGTCCGCAGCGAGACAAACAGAAAGTATGTGTCCTGCTTTCACATCATTTTCCAAACGATTTTTGTCATTCGACAGACCAAGTCTCTGCATATGTCATCCCTACTGAATGGTAATATGAAGAATGTGTGAAGGCCTTGGAATGGAATCCTGAAATTTTTCTTGTAATTCAGATTCTCAGTATGTGACAGGTCATATGAAATCGATTGCAGCACTGTTCCTTGCAAGAGAGTTAGCAGCTTCATTACCCGTCAGTTCAGGTGGCCAGGAAATCAGAACAGACACATATTATTGAGTTTTTCTCCTCCACTTTTAATTTAGGCAGTTTCCAATGCCACTTGGCTATCAGAGACTTGTTTTTAGAGGAGTTAGTTTGATATCTCTCCTAAAATATCTGTAAGTGTTTTTTGATAACTTGTATTTTTCAGAAGGTATTTCTGAGTTCATGAACAAATATTTTGAAGGTCTCAACTTTTGAACTACAGATTGCTGAAGTTTTAAGAAAAAACGGTTCTGTTGATATGATACTAGATATTTTTGTGAAACCTACGTGCCATACCTTCTACGTAACAAAAGGCACTTTCTGTACAGCATAATAATTTTTTATTCTCGACAGTGGTATGTGTGCGGATTTATAATTTTAATTTTTATTCATTTTTTTTCTATCTTCATGGCCCAAAATTTCCCAACTTTTTCCCAAGTCGAAAAAGCATGGGGGAGGCTCCCCCCATCCCCACCCATGACGACGGCCCTGCCTTTCCTACCTATGGTAATTCGAGCCTCGCTCCACAATGACAAAGTTGAACCCCTTCTCCAACTACGGATGTTAAATATTGCTTTTATAAAATCATTCATTACGTTTCAAACCTTGTAAGAGTACAGTCAGAATAAATCTTGTCTTGTCTACAGTATTTCTTGTGTGCATTAAGTATTCATACTTACGATAAAATAATTGGGGGTCAAAACAAATTTTTCGCACAGACATTGGTCGGAAACTGAAGGATTCATCATGGCCTGCCAGGGTAGTGGCTTCATCACCTTAGTTAAGAAAATTTTAGACCAATTAGTGTATTACCAGCCTTTTCAAAATTGTTTGAAATGGCGATGTGCGACCGATTGATGAACTTCCTAAATAAATGTAAAATAATTAATAACATTCAGCATGGATACATCAAGGGAAAATCAGTAGAGACAGCCATTATGCAATTTACGGAAAAAATAGTAGTCATTTGAAAATAAACATTTATTGTTAGGCGTTTTCTTGGATTTATCTGAAGCCTATGATTGTCTCAATCATAAAAATCTACTTGAAAAACTCGAAAGGTATGGAATTCGTGGAACTGCATCAGATTGGTTCACAACATACCTAACAAATAGGCAACAAATAGTAAAAATATCACGTAAAAACAAATAATTATATTGAATGTCCAGAAAACTAACATGATTTTTGAACTCTCTCAATTCTTAAAATATCTTTTTTATCCAGGCATGAACCATACACAACATCACAATAAGCAAAATGACCCAACACAAGAGCATTTGTTAATTTTATTTTCAAACATATTGATTGATAATAAATGACGATGAGGATAAAGCATTTTCATACTCATGTTACTTCTTTGAACACATTTTGTGACATGTTTTGTAAACCTTTAATTCACGTCCATTTCGATACCTAAATTTCTGAAGATCTGTTTGTCAAAATGCGTTGGTTTACTTAATAATGGTTTGATAAACCGAAACCGGTCGTAAATAATAAAAATCTTAGTAAAACTTATACGAAAGTTATTTTCTTTCTACAAAATAAATAGGTCATCAATCGAACGAGGCAAAACTTTTTCCTATAACTTTTTTGGAAAAAATTAAAATTTGACAGATAATGCAAATCACTTGTCTGCTTTCTTGGTAACTTTTCATCCCAGTTGAAGCAAACACTGATGCCAGAGTCAAATTTCGGATAACGACATTGATAAAAACAATTCCATATTATGCGGACTTTATTGGTCAGACGTATGAAATGCCGGTCGATACGTCAGTCCGGCCCTGAATCCCATACATCCCATCTTGTGAGAAGCAAGCTCACCATAACAAGAAACCAATTCAAACGGTGGTAATGGAATCCAATCTTCACTCCAATCAATACGGATTGATTATTCAATAGGTGGTGTCTCTTATTCATCAGCAGCTGTTCATAGGATCACGAAGGTATTGATTTCGCAGTTTTTACTCGACTTTAGGAAGGCGTTTCATCCAGTCACGTTTCCAATTCATTAAAACGTTCCGTCGTGGGATTTAAAACCTCTAGTACGTTTCCGGATACTTAACAGAGTTCTCTACTTGGTGTGGTGCTTTAGAAAGCATTTCACGGGTTAGAATAATCCGAAATGAGGTTGAAAGTTTTTGTTAGGACTGTGATGAGTATTTTATGTAGATTTCTCATCATTATTATCTAGGTTAAAGGTATTCATTGCCTCTTAAGAGTTGGATTGAATGAAAGTGTCTGAGAGGAATGAAATTGTTGTAATTCCGATTTCTCAGACTCAAATAACAGGATGATAATTGAAAATACTTCTGAATACTACTTACTCACATGTATATACAATTGATAGTTTCAAAAACACTTCACTAACTTTCTTCGAAAGCTTCTGATAATTTCTCTTCCATATTCTCTGTTTCGCTATCACTGTCGTCATTTCCATCAATAATGAGTTTATTTCCGCCATTAATATGGAAGTATCCAATCTCCATATGGTCTTTTTCAACTAAAATTACTTTTTTAATAATTTTCTGCCAGTCTTCTTCGGTAATATTAGATACTTCTTCTTTAATTAGCTCTATTACCTTCTTATCAAAATTTGGAAAATTATTTTTACGCCAGATGCTTTGCTTTCAATTTTCCCCAAATCAATTAGATGGGATTGAAAACACAAAAATAGGTAGAAAATCTCGGTATGGTGTGTCCATACTTTTCAGCAATACTCTCAAGGGCATACATCTTTTCAAATGTTTTTATCTGTAAAACTTCAAGTAGTTGGTTTTTGGTAAAGTAATCTTCAAAATACAAATTGTTATCCTTTAAAAAACTTTGTATTACATCTTTCCTCGAATTTGTATTCGGTACTTTGATGAGCTGTCGCGAATGATAGAAAGCGCTGTTGAGAACTATTACACTATTCGCGTCCAAATTTGGGATCGATGTGTTTTCAAACCATTCCTCGAAAACATTAGCTTCCATGTTCTTATGATAGAGTCAATATTGCAGTCCTCAAGTTTTTTTCCACATAATTTCAAAGAATTCGGAACCCATCCTTTACTTCCTCCTCAATGCACAATGATTGGTCGCGATTCTTTGTTTGCAGGCATGTTAGGCGCACACATTCTCGAACCATCAGTCCAACCTTTCGTAATTGTATCGTGAGTGTCATACCAAGTTTCGTACAAATAGAAAATTTGCCGTTGTTCTTGTCTATATTTAGTTATCTTTTTCCATAACTGCTTGACGCCTGTTTGTTATTTTAAATCTGAATCTTGGTTTCTTTATCCAATTCTGAAGAGTTTTGTCATAGCAGCTCACGTTATGGCCGAAAGCATTCAATTTCTTCCTCATGATTTCAGTTGTAGGAATCTCATTGCTTTTGTAACAGTCCTAAACCTATTGTTTCTTTCAATTATTTTATTAGATGAATATCTAAAGATTTTGGTAATTCTGTATCGCATTGCGTTCTTAAGATTTGTTTTTGACTATTTTACGTACAATTGAGAAAGCAATTTCGGTCAAATTTAATGTTGTTTGTAATAGTTTGTTTCCCTTGAAACCAAACTTGAGATGTAGATTCTTATAAACATTGAAAACATACTCTCTTTGTTTCAGTATTCAAATGCATCCGAATCTCATTCACTGGTATCTCCTTTTCGTATTGTTCACCATCGCTATTGGAATCATTACGCTGGAAAAAGTCTGCGTTATTATCCTGGTGACCTTGTAGGGGGTAAAGCTCGATGTGGTCCATCTTATCTTATCCTCATCAATTACTGCACTAGCAGTTTACCAGTCGTATTGTGAAGGTGTTGTTGGTACTTCCGTACAGTTCGTCGTTCCAGGAAAAACAGAACTTGGGAAGTGACTTTATATAAGAATCTCAGGAGGTTGTCGGCTTTGTCAAAATTTCCCTCGTCAGGTGGCCGACACCCTTATGGTGGTCGTTTGAGAGTGCCTTCTGTAGCCTATAAGCTAGTGGGAAGTCTTCGACTGCCTCACATTAGGCTCTCCAGGCTTCTCTTTGTTTTTGTCTGCTGACTTTTTTGAACTCTTTGGGGTTGGCTTGATATACCCCAGTCCTTCTCGAGTCTTGTACGTTTTGCCTTGTTAAAGGTCAAGGTTGTTTGGATAGATTGAGATTAGACTCCTTTGACTTCTGCACAACTCGACCATGTTGTACTTTATTCTTTTTCTAGGTATCCGAATGCTGGACCAACCGTATATGACAGATCTTATAGAAGCCAATTCGATGGGACACGAACCCAATCTCATAGATATTTACAGTGCTTCCTGGGGACCAACTGACGATGGAAAAACCGTAGATGGACCAAGGAACTCCACTATGAGAGCCATTGTCAGAGGCGTCAACGAAGTGAGTATTAAAGCTAATAAAGAACTCAAATATTATGACTTCCCTGGAGAAATATGCATTCAATACAACCCCCAGAGATCATATATGTAAAAAAGCTGTAGTGTTAAGGAGTCTTGTCAGTTCTTGCATCTCAAAATTCGTCTGTTGGTTCTATGGTGCCTGTAGCAGTCTAACAACTAATTAGTGATTATGTGGGTAGAAGGTCAAATTGTTATCATATAAAGCACACACTAAGTAGAATGTAGACAGTATGAAAACGCTTGAGGAAGCAATTGTATAGCGAAACACGTTTTACTGTTTTGTAAACTACCCAGTGAAAATCTCACAGTAAAGTGTTATCTGAATACGTTATTGATTTTCCTCGAGTAACTGCTAATTTCATGACAAATACACAATGAATTTATACCTATGTCTTTGATGTATTTTGATATAATAACTGTAAACTTAAAGTTTTTTCAAGTAGAATTCTGTTCTTTTGACAATAAAGTATACTTTGATTCATTGACATAATCTTTCACATCGTTTCGTTAATAGCAAAACTACTTCCATATTTTTGAAATGTTTATTCTGTTCTGTCAGTTATCACGACGTTATTTTTAACTGGATATTAAGAATAAGAACCCAAAATGAAAGAAGAGAAAATAAAAATAACATATTCTTCTTCCTTTTCATTTATTGGCTTCAGCAATTACGGCTATCCGGCCAGTTACTTGTACAAACTCAACTTTATTTTTGGACTCCACTTCGATGACGATCTTTGGGGGCGAACGTTATTGGCACAACCATTCTCTGTCGTGATCAGAGAGGAAGTCCACGAATAGCATTTACAGGTGACAACTAACACTAATGAACAGAGTATTTAACATAAAAAATACATGTGCTCCAACTGAAATCTTCAATAGATCATATTCAAGGAGGGTTTTCAAAAATGTACGATTTTGTTTTATTCTCCATACTGCTCATTACCGTCCTCAACTCGTAAATTGGAGTTGTTGAAATTGCAGATTATTTGTGATTATTATGAAAAAATCATCAAGAAGTCTGGAGAAATGTCCAAACCACTCCGTTAAATGACTGGGAAATAATGCTGTCAGCAAGGAATTGACAACAGAACTTGTTTGGCACACGCTCAAGAATCCAATGCATACATACACGAGACCTGGACTGAAATTCAGGTTAGGAGAAATATATAAATTGAAATGGACATACGTTAGGAGAAAGGCGTTTATACCAAAAATGTGGAAAGCTTTTAAAGGAAAACCTGTTTTTCCGTTAACCAGCTGTCGCCTCTTACGAACGACAACTCTCGGGAGTCGAAACTTGTGCGATTAACAAGGTCTCACTTTTTAACGTATTCATAGCAATGTAGCTGGGTTTTTTATAGTTATCACTGTAAAAGAAGACTCTAATCTTTAAAAATCGTGAAGGATGAACACGAGTCAAATCGATACATTCCTGGTTCAGACACTTGCTTTGTCCTCGGTTTTCAGACTGAATTATTAGGGTCTTGATGAATATTCAGTATTTATTTGTTGTTTCTGGGATATCTTACTGTGCTTTTGTCCAACATGTTCGTAACACCATATTTCTTGTACAGGGCCGTAACGGGCTGGGAAATATCTACGTATGGGCCAGTGGAGACGGTGGTGAGGATGACGACTGCAACTGTGATGGATATGCGGCTAGTATGTGGACCATAAGCATAAATAGCGCTATCAATGACGGTCAAAACGCCCACTACGATGAGAGTTGTTCCTCCACCTTAGCCTCAACCTTCAGCAACGGTGCGAAGGATCCCAATACAGGAGTGGTGAGATTTGTTTCATAGTGTTTGTGAAAGAATAACATGACAACATTCGAATAATAATCTATATTCGTTATATATGAGCATCTTTATTTATGAATTTAGACTACATTCATCGATCGGGAAAAAGTCCTTCTTCAATATTATAATTAGAAGATTTGCATTTAGGTCTTGAGAATAATATTCTCTCCAAATTTCAATGAGCAACCATATGTCGATATTTGAATTTGGTTACTTTCACATAGGAGAAAATTTCATTTCTTGTTTTTGATTAGATTCTCGTAATTTTTCAGCTAATTGAATTGGGCCAATTTTCTATTTAATTTGTGCCAGTTCCTTTCATAACTTATTTATATTTTCGAATGCTATCCATTCCAGGGCTTCCAATTAATATCCTATTCTAATCTCATCGAGGCCCAAGATTCTAAGATCCATCATAGGTTGCCTCCATGATTTCTCAGGGCTCTAATGTTACTCTTGTTGCAAGCCACGTATTGATTTCATATTATTACAGATAATTTCAACCCTAGAACCCGATACACACCACATATTGTGACTGTGTCTTTATCTTCTGATACCTCACACCTGACACCAAATTGATGGGACTTTCCGTATACCCCTGATTTCTAATCGTTGGATCGACTAATCTTTTTGTTATTCGGAAACAGGATCCTTGAAGCGGATGAAAAAATTTTTTATTGGTAACAGAAAGTTTTATTTCTCATTTTTCATGATAATCTCGTACCACATGGTAACGACTACAATAAATGAATATATTTTGAGACAAATGAAAATTCAGCTAATTTTTTGAACAGACCTGGTATATTGCAATTCTAATTGTTTGTCAAGGGTTCATCTTATCGGAGTGTGCTAAAAGTCACTCTAGCATTCAAACCGATTGTTCCTATTGAGATATATTTTTCGGTTGAATTTTGCTTTTTTTGGAGACAAGACTTGAAACATTTTTTTTCATAATTATTCTTACCAACCTAATCAAAATCATTTTATTTCACGTAATTAATAGGGTATTGTGGGGGTGCCAAATTTATAAATACCAACCATTATTGGTCCAAATACAGATTTTTGAGGAAGCCTCAACCCATTTTCCAGGCACTACGGCAAAATCATGCCTGTCCTTTTATACACAAATCCGGATATTTACTGCTTTTCCTAACTGACGATCGTTTGATTTTCAGGCAACGACTGATTTATACGGCAAATGCACGACGACTCATTCGGGAACATCAGCTGCCGCTCCGGAGGCGGCAGGTGTGTTCGCTCTGGCCCTGGAGGCGAAGTGAGTCTTTTATTGTATGATTTATGTTTGATGTGAATCGTGTTTTCCTTACTGAGCGTCTGATGGTTACGTGGGGTTTCGCTATAATTGATTTGTGACGGTGTTTCTAGTATACAGATGAAAGTACCTGAGTAGCATATTTTCATTGCATACAGCGCTGACGTCAATTATTCCCCTCTCAACTTTTGAACTCCGACAAGATATCAGAGTTGAGCAATTTTTTTGAAAAGAAATCATTCTCAGTGCTTATTGATGAAAAAGCCAATGTGGTCCAGTTATCTTAATCAAAATTGGGTATCTTGCAATTTGAGATGCCCAGCCATTAACTTGTATGAACTTGTATTTTCACATCCTAAAAGTTGTCTATTGAAATCTACAATCAAAGGTTACAAAAATCGACTTTTTGCAAATTTTTTGCAAATATCTGGCTTCCTATGGGGTTTTTGCTATTTGTATTCATAATCAATGTGGTAGAAAAATACATTGCCTACAATTTTTGTTTGAAAAAATGTTTTATACGTTGAATCGTTTTCCAGATAGAGAGTGGAGAGCGCGGTCAAAAACACGCCGCATGAAGTTTATTGATTATTGATAAATACATAATTATCAATGATATTCATCTCCTATCAAATATATAATTGTCATTTATACAATTTATATTGTTGTTACAGATTATTTAATGCTGTACATACTTAAATGTCTATCTTCTGCATCTATCTATTCAATTCAAAACTCATAACCGTTTCCTAAAATTGAAATATTAATTGAGGGACAAACTTTTTGAAAACATTTGAAAAACTGCCGAATTTGAATCAACTTGCAGCAGCCTTTGGAGAAGATTATTCGAGATTGGAATTCAAATCTTGTTGGCAGTCTATAGTGTTCCAAAATCTTTGCACACTATCGATCACATTCGTTTTGTAGAGTACGTCAAGTCAACAAAACTGAATACACCTGTGCAGTTATCAAATATTCCACCAACTAGTGCAGCAGCTCACCAACATTCCAATTGTGTTGAGTATCAAGTTCAAACTTGTTTAGGGCATGATTTGGAACCTCAACAATGGGGTTGGATAATGCGTAACGAATTCTTGGAACCTATCAACCAACCGCCACTGTCTTATGGTCCAACTTACTTCAAATGTAAACAAACTCTCCATAACCTCTCATTACCCGCCACCCCTACGCGCCCATAAGTTGTACAGAAAAGGATAGTACGATACCCGTTTCAAAACACATGTATTGTATTGGTATAGGCACCGTACAGGCATGGCAACTCTATCTCTTATTATTACTCTGAGGTCTCAATGCTTTACCATATCAGAGTGATGTCAATGAAGACAAAACCTTTGACCCTAGAATCATGGGACATCTGGAGGCAAATGTCAACAGCGTTCGGAAGACGACGCTCTCCGCCTTCCGTCTAGAAAACGTTTCAACGTATAAAAAATGTTTGAAACAAAAGTTGTAGGGAATGCAATTCTCTACAATATTGATAACGAATAGCGAAAAATCCATAGAAACGAGACATTTTTGTGACAGTTGAACAGTTGGAAAGGCTAAAGCAGTTATTTAGAAAGGCCCGCTAGATAAGTCAATAGAATCCCCTAATATTTTTCTTGGGGACATCTTGTCCCGTTCAAAAGATAAGAGAGAAGGGGTTCTCACGTCCACACTTTCAAAGGGCTAGTGTGCCAACCAGTCAAAAAAAAACATCTAGGGTCATGTATAAACGAATCCGGCCTCTTCGAAAATATCCACACTAATCATTATTTTTTCACCAGCAACAAACTCTCCTGGCGAGACATACAACATCTCACCGTGTTAACTTCGAAACGAAATTCCCTTTTCGATGCCAAAGGACGCTTCCAGTGGACGATGAACGGCGTCGGTTTGGAGTTCAACCACCTGTTTGGATTCGGTGTTTTGGACGCAGGTGCCATGGTGGCCCTTGCCAAACAATGGAAAACGGTGCCTCCTAGATACCACTGCGAGGCTGGGTCGGTGATGGAAATACAGTAAGTAGTTTTACTGACTACGTGAAGGGGGAGTGCCCTTTTGGGATATATTGCCATCTTAGCAGAGCATTCGACTGTTTGAAAAATCTGTTTAAAATCTATTTTTTCGTTAACCAGCTGTCGCACCGCTACGAACGACAACCCTCAGAAGTCAAAACTTGTGCTAGCTAAGGATTAACGAGGTCTTTCCTGTGATTCCTAACACAGACAGATCAAATAAATCAAATCAAATCAAAATGAACTTTATTGTCGAAGATGAACTCTCATTGACGAAGTGTTACTATTCTAAGAAATATAAGATACACAACTTAAAAGATATTGTCGACTGTGTCGAACTATTCTTCTGTGAGACAATGCATGCGACTAGATTCCATCTTTCATTGAGAGCCGTAATCAGTATCTTCCACTAAACCATTTTTCTAATGAAGACCCAGCCAAATTTCAACTATGGGAGTACCCCAAGGGTCAGTCAGTGGGCCTGCACTTGTAAGATTTATTGCAATGATTGGTGTTATGTCATTTTGGATGCTACATGCATTATGTATGCTGACGACACTTCCCTTTAAATTTCGACAGAAGACAGAAGAATTGCGGAACAAGCCAAACGTCACAATCATGCACAATCCCTAAAGAAATGGGATGGAAACGAAGAATGCAGTCTTGCCAGGATCACCCTGGGCGAACCTGGAAAGCTGGCGCCGAAGAAATATCAACCAGAAAAAACCTACGCTTAACAGTAGGATTTCTGACTGGCCACTGTCAACTAAGTTAACACCTTCTATCATGGGGTTAGTGGACACACCTCTATGCAGGACTTGTGATCAGAAAGATGAAACTGTCAGGAATGTCATAAGCGAGCGTCCGGAGTTATCGTCAATGAGAGAGTGTGTGTTCGGCGAGTCTTGGCCTACACCTACCGATATAAAGGAGATGTATACTAGTGACCTGGAAAGGACAGGATGGACGATGACCTAGGAGGATAACTCCTCGGGAGGATGTACAATGGGTTACATGTGGCCCAAGTGCTGTGGACCTACACTCACCCTCCCTACTCTACAGATACAGATCGACAGAAGACGATATTTTGTTGGCAGAAAGTTGCAACGCTGGTTTACACAACTTAGACAGCTGGTTAACTGAAAAACATATTTAAACAGATTTTTTAATAGACATATCATCAGTAGTGTCTGATAAAAATGATACTCAAGTCAGTCGTGAATTAGTGAGCAGCAATGTTTTTATTCCTGAACACAGTGTGTGATTTTCCACAATCGTCAAAAACAACACACTGATGTGCAGTTTGCAATAAAACATGGAAGTTTCGAAAGTGTACCTGAACGAGATCATTTGGGCATTACTATATATGGATGAGTGTTTCGACTGGAAAAAGTTCAGCTCTGTTACGCCAGCAACGCAAAGTATGAAAATCGCAATTAGAAAATGCCAAGATTAGGTACTTTTCAGGCGTTGTTTAGGTACCGAAGTCAAAAATTAGGTGCTCTGTAACTTACACAGCAACTCAATACTCAAAGTTGCGTTGCTAGCATTATGTGATGCTAGCAACGCAATGAAAATAATAATAAAATTATGAATGTTGAGGAAACACTATTAGGTGCTAATTAAGTGCTAAGCGATGGGGATCGTACAATTTTCTAACTAATAAACAAAAGCTTCCAATTTCGCTTAACAACAGATCTAAGAATTAGGTCTCTCGAAAACGAGGACGAATGCTCTATCAGGTATAAACTGAGCGTGTTAATGAAGTGCATTTATATTTCATTGTGCATTTCTGTTTTATATATATAGTATTATCAATAATGGGTAGGTATTCATTGAAAAAAATACTTACCTATAGTGAATAAGGAATGCTCCTACACATCTCTTCTCTTACAATTTCGGCAGACACATGTGTCAAGACTTAAAATGTTTTTCCTTTCCAGAAAAATTCCATCCAACAAATCCATATATTTGAAAATCACAACCGATGCGTGCAAAGGGGAGAACACCGAAGTACGCTATCTTGAACACGTACAACCTGTCATAACACTGAACGCAAGCCGCAGGGGAGACATAGAACTGTTTCTCACGTCACCGATGGGAACACGGTAAGGGGATTTTCTTTTATGATGTATACCTCCCTTCATTCTAAAATGTTCTCAAATGTCCCATTAGCGTCCATTTTTCTCAAAAATCCTAGAAACACCTCTGGATTTCGATTATTTGTTTTGCAAATGTTTTTTATATCGTTATAAATGAAATACATTCTGAAGCGGGGAGATAATCTTGTTCATTGTTGAGTTAACAATATGTATGATATCCATATGAAAAATTCTGTTGAGACAATTTTTTATGTAGGTATTAATTCATTCAACAACAATAGTACATGAGATTTTTGTTAGTTATACTATGTCTATGAAGAACAATTTTTAAGAAACAGCCGGAATGAAAATATGGTCAATCGTCTTCTCTTCAAAAAAACTGGACGTGAATGATATTAAATAAATTCAAACAGCAAGTGGTGCAGTTCAATTAATTATACAATCAGCTACACTCGTAGATAGTACCTAACCTCTATGCTTCAGCATGTGATGATAAAGAAATGTTTTTGAAACCAGATTAGTTCCTTCAAAGCGATAAAATGATGAAAAAATGAGAGGCTAGGCATCCAAAAAAGAGCGACAAAACTAACAGCCATGAAATTGACAACTAGTTGTCATTATTCTTGAATCATACGTAACCTTCAGGGCTTATAGCTCTCAACTCTCAGCTCTCATATACCCACAATTTCAATCACTGGCACTGTCCTGATCAAATTGAACCAATGGAATCAAACATTCAAATATGATTGTGACTAAATATTAAAACTGACTTATTACAGACATTCGCAGACACTGACATAATTATGACAGTAACTAGGCCATAGAACAACTCAAATGAATTTGTTAATCAAATAATACTCACCAATACAATGAAGAGATACATGAGACCGAGAAACGAATTATCACACTTCAATGATTTACATGACCTCACGATAATAAGAAAACAATTCTCTTAAACTCCACCTTGAATACCTACAATTTATATATGATAGTCAGAAATCTCAATATCCCAATATGAATTTATTGGTATAATAAAACATTTTAAATTCAAATTAAAACATTATTCTGGATAGAAGCAATTTCATTGAAATCGAAAAGAATACGCGACGTAACAGTTATTGCGTCTAGCCGCGTCAAGTTAATCGGGTGACTCCGTTAAGACACAGTAGATTTCAACATTGAAATTCTATTTTTAAAAAATACGAGTTTAGTCATTTACGTATATACTCTGTTCATATATTCGAACATTGTTTATTTATGTAATACTTCCAAACAAATGTTCTTGTTGAAATTTCTCGTTAGTCAAGTAATAAAAACGATTCAAGTTGAGAATTGATATTTTGTTTTTATATCGATGCGTTCAGCTGAGAATACTTCAGGAAAAAATATTCACGAATACCACACGACCTAAACATTTTCTGAAATAAATGTCTATTATTTTTCATCTCACACTTTGTTAAAAATTAGAGCCCAAACACAACCACCACATAGCGCTGTTTCGACCCGCCATGAGTCTCGTCTTCTAGGCCGAACCACGAATGAATTCCACCATGTCCATCCCCTGAGATAAAATATTCCCCACACTGTTACTGTGTGCAGAAGCTAGAGTCTCTTCCGTCCACTCCCACTGACTTCTGAGTGGTAGTCAACCTGCTGTCTGGAAATTCAGCAAGATTGAAATCTGACCTCTTGTGGTCGGAAGTCAGACTCTGGTGCTTATACTCTCTCATATCAGATCATTTATAAAATCTGACTCTATTGTGTGTAGTGTGCGCATGTGCGATTGTGGGAGGTTATAAACCACAAAAACAGTATGGAATATTGAGTCCTCCACATATAAATGAATTTTAAAGAATATGGAACTATACTTTATGAATAAATAATCATTATCGTCACAAACGATTCAAATATCCCCTTCAATGAACCCGTAACTCACCGTTTTTCCAATTTTATCGTCTTCGTCGACTTCAATGATTTTCTTGGCTTCGGACCCTCTTCCTCTCGCGTAATCTGAAGTCGTCCTTGTTCAGTGCGTCGCGAAGATCACGCAGCGCTGGGTTAAAGTGTGTTTGATTGAATTCGCTCTAACGCTAGTTGCACACACACCGATTTTGGACGGCCTGTATAAAATCGGCCGATATTTTATTGGTAGCGGGTGCTTGCACACTCACCAGATTCTTATCGGTCAAACAATCAGTTGCTTTGTTGTCGTAATTAGCAAGCACTACCAAAACGAAGTTAATGCGTAGTAACTACAATTTCACCGAGCATTCGAGACTGGAATGGTGGGTAAAAAACCGGTGAGTATGCAAGAGTGTATTTAGTCATGAACGCCACTATTTCCCGGTACTGCCGGTACAGTGGCAGTGGACGGCTGCTCACTGGTATTTTACCGGCGACGATCACCGGTAGGCATGTGTGCAAGGTCCCGTTCCCACATGTGGTTCACTATTGGAATTTGGACGACCGGTACAAAGTCGGCCGTCCAAAATCGGTGTGTGTGCAACAAGCGTAAGATGTTTCCGCGTAGGTTTCTCAGGAGTGCATCCACGTACCTACTGGATGCTAAGCTCCAGGTCCCGGTAGATGCATCGGTTGGGTATGTATCTGGTAGCGTTTACAGCCGCCCGCAAGCAGGCGTTTATAAACGTTTGGATCTGGCGTCTATATATTTCTGCGCACTAGCCCCAGGCCAGGATTATGGGAAGTAGGATGGTCTTGATTAGTAGCAGTTGCATTCTGAGATCCATGTTACTCCCGCGTCCAATGACGGGGTAGAGGTTGTATCGAGCGGCTTTCGCCAGCCTAGCCTCTGTTGGATGACTCACAGGTATCCTGCTTCGTTCGCCTAAGGAATCTCCTGTCCGTTGAAGACGACTCGTCGTTTCAGATGTACCTTCATCCAGGTGAATAGTATCGTCCGACCCTTGTCAGGGTTGATACTGCTCCTCCAGAGATTGGCCCATTCCTCTTATCTATCTGCTTGTTGTTGCAGGTATCCTTTAACCAAGTGGATCTCTCCAGTAGAACTGTGTCATCTACGTAGAGTGCCAACTTGTTTAAGTTGTTCTCCGGCTTAGGCACGTCTGCTGTGTACACCGATAAGAGGTGAAGGGGAAGAACTGCGTCTTATGGAACTGCTGCTTCCAGAAGTTGTCTATAGTGCAGAGTTCTTGTCCAACTCTTCATTGGCATCGTCGGTCTGTAGATAAAAATCGATTAGTCTTACCATCGGTCTCCTGTAGCCAAAATTTGTCATGTCAGAATACCGAACGCCTTGGAGACATCTAAGAATATCGCTTCGGTGTGATATCTTTTGGTAGGTTGAAACCTTCTGTCGCGTAGTCAACCACCCTCAGGATTTGAAGGTCTGTAGAGTATTCCGACCCGAATCCGAACTGTTCGTCCAGCAGGATTTTTAGCTCGTTGGTCTGGTCTGCAAATCTCTTCAGGATGATGCGTTCCATTACCTTGTTCGTCGATGGGATCAAGCTTATCGCGGAAAGTTAGATTCTTGTTTGGCTTTGGGATCATAATGTTTGGCTTTGGAATTTGATCCGGGCCTGGGGCTTTACAAGGAGCGAGGCCTCTTACCATGACTGTAACTTCTTTGAGAAAGGTGGGATTCAGGGATTGAGCGTCGTCCCTTTGCTGTTGTCTCATTCTGCGCACCGTCTGTTCTACTTGTTGCTCGATGTTTTTCACCTCGACAACGATGGAGACATCATTTTCTCTAGATTTTTTTTTTCGAAATTGTCAGCAAATTCTTCAGCTGCCTCTTGATCGGTGTACAGATACGCTGCTGGACTCAACTGTCCTTAAAAAACAAGTTTCATCAAATAAGGCTGCTGCAGGGGAGCCCTATTTATCTTAGATATTCGAGGATTGAGCTCTCTGTCGATTCCATAGATGGCGTTTACGTAAGGGGAGATGTCATCGGCTTTATTTACTCACACTTTGTTATTTTTTAGCATTACCAACCGAACAACCAGGTAGTGAAAACTGTTATTTTTATATGTTTTCATTACAGCTCCCAAAAAGCGGAAAATTGAATATACAAATAATTAATGAAATATATACATATGTATGTATGTATGTCATTGTACTGAGGAGATGGTTTATACGAGTATTCGAAGTATCAACAACAGGGTCAGGGCAAGAATTGAACCCTTCACTCAATTTATCGCCTGCCTATATTCATGATTATTCTAGACTAATGTTATATTTCAGATCGATGATTCTCAGCAGAAGACAAAATGACGACGACTCCCGGGACGGATTCTCCAAGTGGCCTTTTATGACGACACACACTTGGGGTGAATATCCACAGGGAACTTGGATACTTGAGGTGGGTAACTTTCACGATACACTTTCATTTCAATGATTAGGTTTGTATGATTATTCATGCTAGGAAAGCGACTTAATCTCCTGAAGATGACAACTTGGTTGTTGAAACGCGAGTCGGTTGGGGTATTGCAGTTCTGGTGTTTGAGAAAAGTGCTTGTTTAAGATTTAGGCTACGCCAGAGCTTCCAGTTTCACCTTTTTCCAAGAGTGAAGAATGTTTACGAATTCATTTCTTACGTTATGAAATGTGCCTGTGGTAATTTCGTTGTAAGCACCTCTTCTTCTACCCACGAGTACTGAACTGAACTGCTGTTGTCAGATAACACATATAACTCCAGAAGCATCCAGAGGCATCATTTCAGGTGGCCCAGTGGGCTTTTCTAAGAGAACATGTTTGCCTATCTACCGGTTTGGATAATTGACAAACCAAAATGAGTTGTCAATTCGGGTTACGTTTCAATAAGATAAAGTACCCCTTCATTGCGGAAGGTTGCTTCGAAAGTGACTGGATGACAATTATCCATATCGGTGGATAGGTAAACGTGGTCCCTGGAAAAGACGTACTAGATCACCTGATACGACACGACGCCCTTAAATTTTTGTGGGAACTGATCAAGTCTCCAGTATACGTTTCATAATGACAGTGTATTGCAGCAGTCATGGATAAAATGAGAGGTGCTTTCAACGATAATACTCCAGAAACATCACAAAATGTGACAAATGAATTCGTTAATAAACTTCATTATTGTCAGGAACATTTCAAACGTTTATTTTAATGAGGTGGGGTAGGTTTTGTACTTTTTTTATTTTGTTCATTGTTCGTTTACAGATTCATTAAACGAATATAAACCTGCTGACTGAAAAAAATAAAATGTGTTAGGAAGAGAATTGAAATACCTCAAAGGGTGTATCACTTCCCTTTCCAATATTGAACGGAAGTAATTTTGTTTAGAAGAAATCAGAGTTTTTATTGACTTTTCAGGGGATTTTCATCTTTCAGAATCTGAGATAATAAATCTGAAACAGCACAACATAATGGAGAACTTCAAATGGGTGAAAAAAAGTGCAAACTTTTTTGTGCATCCGATAAGTTACTGCAAAAATTCAACGTATTTTCAACTTGCTGTAGCGAAGAGAGCTTAAAAATTGTACAGATACAGATACAGATATAGGCTAAAATCTGCCTTGGTCTTCAGAATTGTATATAATAAAATGTGCCTGGTAGTTTTTTCCTCCGATTCGCTTTTAATTAAATGATTTTATTACATTTCCTTTTATGTTTCAGGCTAAATTCAATTCCGAAATACCACAAACAGGATATGTCAAGGAATGGACACTAATGTTGCATGGCACTAAAGAACCGCCGTACACCGAACTGCCAGTTCTAGATCCACATTCTAAACTAGCCATTGTAAAAAAAGCACACGAAAGTAGGAGTAAGATGTAATTATTTTTTAATTTAAGACAAGCAGCCGACTCAGACGAACCCTTTCAAAAATATTGTGAGTCAAACAAAACAAAATGGCAAACATAATTTGGTCGGCTTTCCAAAAAATCTATATACGGGTGTTTCCACTTCAGTTCATCAACATACACATAACTTCTGAAGCAAATAGGGAGAGCCGACTGACTTTTTAGTTTGTAACGCTGCTTGAATAAATTTTAACCTAACTCTTTTTTTGTTCAGTTCGAAAATTCCATTATAAATTAGTTAACATTCATGAAGATGAAAGAAAAATTCACAAAATATAAGTACAAACGATCAACCCAAGACAGACTCGAATGAATAATGCACAACAATTCTATATTATGATTTTACTTCTGACTTCATACTTATTAGGTACTTACTTATGTTAAGTATGCTTGATAGGTATATACCTGTATGAAGGGTACAGCGGAAAAACTACAAGGTTCGATTCCAACAAATTCTAAAGGCGATAGTTCAGGAATCGGAAGAGGTCCATGAAAGGTGTCACGAAGTTGGTATATAGGTGGGGGATTTTCATAACTTTCGCCTCTCTTATATGCGCTCTAAAAACGTAATGCAATTGTGAATATAGTTTGGTGAATCGGGAGATATCGTCAAACAACAAATTGTTCTCGTGAAGATGATGGAAATAATCCGTCCACAATTTAAAAAATCGATCCTGAACATGGAAAGTGAGGATCGATTTGCTTTGCGTCTACTCTACATATTGACCAATCACATCCCCACCTTTGATTAAAGTCGTAATTTCGAGATTTCAGTCGAAATTTTGAGTTTGAAGTCGTAATTTTCAAGAAACGAAATGTGGCCTTTCTGCGCTTTCATAGTTCTCCGTTGGACTTTTCATTGATCACACTGAACATGCATAGAAACCCTGGTGTTAATACCGATTTGGTGTTGTTTTGCCAATGAGTCCCAGGATTGGTCCGATGAGTTCATCTATTGTCTGTTTGAAACGTTGGTACGTTTCTATTGGTTGAAGCAGCTGATTAAAAATTTTATATTTAATTTAAGAACTGGCCTTGTTACAAACCAACAAAATTTGGCATGAACAGCCCGGAGTAATGTCGTTCAATTCCAGCGTTTTTCTGTATGATACAACCGTAACACTTTTGTTACATTTTACTACTGTGTAACAAGTTTTCAAAAATATGGAATATGTGTTATTTCACACTGCGAATGCATAGAAACCCTGATGCTTTAACCAATTCGATTTCGTTTTGTCAAAAACTCTCATGAGATTGACCCAATTTGCATATATTATGTGGATAAGTGGTGCAAAAATCGAATTCTGTCACGCGTAATTTCTTCAGATCTGTAATTCATGGACCATAATCTGAAACATTTTTCACCTAATATCAATTTATTCCCAAATGTAGACAACACTGAAAATAGAAGTAGTACTAGTACTGACAGTTATAGTTCTGTGGGTTAGAACTATAATTTAGAGTTATAGTTCTGTGGGTATTCTAGGCAACTTGATCATACTCTCAGAGTAACAATAAGACAGAGTTCCATGCCTATACGGTGCCTATACCAATACAATACATGTATTTTGAAGCGGGTATCGGACTATCCTTTTCTGTACAACTTAAGGCGAGGGGGGTGGCGGGTAATGAGAGGTTATGGAGGATTTGTTTACAGTTGAAGTAAGTTGGACCATAAAACAGTGGCGGTTGGTTTAGTTGATAATCGGAGGAATATTATATATTTATAAAATAAAGCATTTCAGGTGAAAATGAATTCTGTTCAAATAGTTCCTACAGGAAATCTGATTTATTATTAATGATTATGGAAATGAGGTCAGTTTTTCTACCACCTACTAGATTTTTATTTATGTATGGCTTTATAATAAAGCGCGTGGTTTACTGGGTTGAAATTGAATTTTTTCATATGAACTGATTCATAGTAATGATAAATGTTAATTTCAAAAGTAATGAACTTCGCTTCATAAAATCAGATGAAGAAACTTGTGATTTATTCTCAGATTTGATGAACAAGCGGTATGGTTTGATATTATTATGTGCTTTCATTCAAAATTGGTATCCAGGGATCTTTGTGGACCGACATTATGTTTTTTTTTCAATAATTCATGCTGAAGAATTCTATAATTACGAAAAATCATTAATGTAAATGAAAGAAACTGTATATTCAAACATGAAAAATATGTTTTTCATATGTGTGCTATAGGTCATATTCGATTTGAAAGGGTACAGTAAACCACGCGCTTTATTATAAAGCTATACATAAATAAAAATCTAGTAGGTGGTAGAAAAACTGGCTCCATTTTCATAATCATTAATAATAAATCAGATTTCCTGTAGGAACTATTTGAACAGAATACATTTCCACCTGAAATTATTTATTTCATAAATATATAATATCCCTCCGATTATCAACTGAACCAACCGCCACTGTTTTATGGTCCAACTTACTTCCCGTAAACAAAGTTATGCTGCCCTCAAAGTAATGATGGAAAAGGCCTCTTCTATTGTATTTTGTTACTCTGAGATCACACTCATCACTCATATCCCTAAATCATTCTAGATCCAGATAGGAATGAATATTATTGGGAAAGCAAACTTTCAGATTTCTTTTCCTTCTTTCTGTTGGAAGTCACAAGAAGTGTTCTTTCTGACTTTTTGTGTGGAAAATTGTTTAATAGCACTCAAGATGACTAGAAACACCCTGTTGCGATCAGTCGGACCCATTCCTTATGTAATATTTTGCCAAAAACGCTCGAATTGAGGACTTCTTGATAAAGAGACAATGAACAGATATATTGAATTTCTATTTCACAGAGATTTTTGTAAATTGAGTTACTAATGGAATTCATAAATTGGTTGCGAAAAAACTCGCATTCCAAACCTTTCTATCTTATTTTACTGGACTCAGCAGGGTTGTGCTAAAAAAATTAGATAAAAATATGACAAACAGTAGGTAGGTACCTATACTTTGCAATTTTTCTTTCACCTTGCATATACTAGAACATCATTCACACAAACAATATAGAGGAATTTCAAGTATGGAGGGATCAAAATAGTTTTATCAATCTGAAAAATAGCAGAACGTTTTCGAATGCACAAATATATATGAATTTCCATAATAATTGTTATAAAGAGCATGTCTTTTCAAATATATCTGTCACAAATTCAACTTGTTCGTTGAAATATGTTGTAAATTATATATAAAAGTAGATAATAGGGTTATAACTCATTAAATGCAAATGGAACATATATTATATCAAATAATAGTGTCTTAAATGCTATATCATTTTTCATTGGTGTCTTTATAAAAAATAGATTCAATGAGTGGTAAACGGATCAAAACATAAGTTGTGAAAATTCAAATCCAAGAAACGTTATTAGAACATTTTAAAGTAAAGGAAATACCAATGAGAAGTGAATCAGTATTGTAGATATATGAATATATAGGTACTGGTTAGTAAGATCAAAATTGTACAGTTAGTAAAAGTCAAAAATGAGAAGAAACCTCAAATGCTTTCATAAAAGACGGGTATTTTTTCTACAGAGGTTGCCTTTTACGATATTTGATGATTCTAAAAAGTCCTTAGTATACATTTTATCAAGTTTATTTTGCCAACTTCTTTGAACACTGTGTGATGAATTAAGAATTCTTTTGAATCTTTTTCTCAGAGTTGGGACTTCAACCTGTCGAGTGATGAAAACACATTGAATGAATATTTATTAAATATTAGGTATACAGTTTATTGTGAAGTTCACTTTGACAAATTGGGTAACGAAATGAGAATACTAGAAAGTTGGAATTTTGTACAAATATATATGCTTATTTTTTAAAGATCATTCAAAAATGGGTTTGTTTTCTTTAACGGTTATTGCCCTTGCCAATTGAAAAATGTAAATAAAATATATCAAAAGTTTCTTGGATTTTTTTTATTTTTCTAGTATCGAATAACCAATATCGCGTTATTGCTGAATGCCATAACGCAAGTAAGATTCGATTAGTGAGTGATTAACCATATTTGCGTTGGACAGTCCGAGTTCATTGGATATGATACGAACTGCATAACATTTAATTATATGCTAGTTTATTTTTGAGAGCCTCAATATGATTCTAGTGAAAAGTTTTCAGTCTGCCCTCTGAAAGCAATAACATTGGTCTTTGAAACTTTGAAAGAAAGCTTATTTGAGTAACACCATTTTAACATAAGTTGACATCATTATATATGAATTGATTCATTGAAGGACTGTAAATCCGAACTGTGCTATATCAATGTGGTGTCATCAGCATGAAGTGTAAAATGTCCAAATATTTTGAAATCACTTGGGATTTCCTCATCACCAGGATCTTCTACTTTACCATCATTCTTCATGAACTTTTTCGTCTCTGGAAATTTATTTAGCACCAAACTTTGTAAATCAAGTAGTTTTCCTAGAAGCATCGATATGGTGCCTGCTGTTTCACTGACTCTATTGGAAAACTCCTGCCCTGATTCCGCCTTAATTTCTTTAAACTTTTCTTTCCTTGGCATCCTATTAGCAGCTGCTAAACACTTCTGAATCTGGATCCTCATTTCCAGAAGACTTTCCCATATGCTCAGTTGATTTCTGACACACATTCCCTTTTTCAATTGTAGAGGAACATCTTCAGACTTTATGTGTTCAAAATTACTATTATGTTCAGTTTCGTCGAGGGTATTGTTTTCAGAATCTGAGACAGTACCTTCGCTTCCTTCATCTGTATCTTCCTCATCATCAGACTCTGAATTTTTTTGGTCACTTTCATCTTCGTTTTCTTCAAGATATTGCATACTTTCATCATCTGAGTTGTCACCTGAAAAAAGAAATAGATAGAGAATCCGCCATACAACTGATTAAATCTAAACCTGCAAAACAACTTTGTTATGTATATACCTACCACTCTCACTCTCCTCTTGATCATCATCTGATTCGTCTGAACTGGCCAAGTTCTTACGACTAGCTTTTTTACCAGCATATTTCTCGTCAATGTCGGCAAGTAGATCAACGTTTTGTTTTCGAAATTTACTCAAAAGTTCGTCGTCGAAATCATCATCTTCAGTGGTGTCTGTGTTAAGTTTTGCTCTTGTTTCATCTGCTAGTTCATCTTCTGGGTCTAACGTGGCCGGAGCTGTGTTGAGAACTTTAGCGATTCTATCGGCTAAAGATTCTTTTTTGTTCGTTTTCGACATTTTCTTGACTACTTCAATATTTTGAACCATTCCGTTTGTTTATATTATAGGTTATGAATGTAAGGTTATGAATTCTTCTTGCCTGACTGTTTCTTCTTCTCGTATTTGAGGGACACATATGGCAAGTAGCCACTAGCAGCAACATAAAACTAAGGGACAACTTCGGGAAAGACAAAGAAGTAGATTAAGATATTTTAGATACATAAATGAATATATTTTATGTATTCACTACAAAAATCGTTACAGTTGTAGCGACCTCACTACAGAAAACTTGGATTTGGTCATCGGCTTAACGATTCTGAGATTATATTTCAAGTTACAGAAGCATATACAATTGTGAATTTACAGTTACGTCTGTAAATTTACAAATTGTCACTAATAACTATGAATTCTCAGTTGCAACTATAAATTGTAATTGAGATCCGTTTGATTTCTATGGTTGGGAGCTAACCTTCACTATGTGATTGAAAAAATATATGAAGTAAAATAAAATGTTTATTTCTGTACAAAATAAAATTACACACAAATATAGCTTTTTGCACTTATAAATTAGTATGGAAACGCATCCTTTATTTCCTGAGGAAGTTTCGATACCAAAGCATCATGATCAACAGTCCTGGCGGTAGCAAAAATACCTTGGTTATCAGGGAATGACACATTCTTGTCGTAACTGTAGTGTTTGCCGTGAATATCTGTCAACCGCCCTCCAGAAGCTTCTAAAATAGCCTCAGGTGCGCAAGTGTCCCATTTTTTGCACCCTCGACTTGCGTAAACATAAGCATGAGCTCTACCTTCCAAAACAACCAAAACCTTGAATAAAAAACACACGAGTTAAATAATATTGAACAAAAATCATTATTGTGGAGGAACCAGAGTAATTAATAGACCTTTTTTTTAGAAGAAATTTATACAGATGTAGAAAGAGCAAAGTTTCAATTCACCCGATAAAATTCATTGTTACTTACGAACGTTAACTAGAATTTTGCCCTTTCTGAACCTGTATAAAAATCTCCTTTGATTTTTTTTTCAGATTGTGTAGGAAGAAATCTCTCAAAAAAGGTTAAAAGCAAAATCCAATCATGTCAAGTATTTAGTAATAATTTCTCGTCAATCCAGAAAGTAGTTACTATCATCAATACTAAGAACGGTACCTTATGTCCTGCACCACCGACGCTAATAACGTCATCAGGGTTCAGAGACTTCAAGGCATTCGACACCATACCGTCTCGGTGCGATCTTGAAGTTGTGATGATGAATTTATCTTGTGGAGGGTCGATGGGATTAAATCCGCCGACTCCAGCGCCTACTAGACCCCACAGAGTCCTTCCTGGAGTATCAGGAACCGTTTTGTAGTTGTAATAGGGTTGATGGATAACTCCTCCCACTGCCCTACCACTGACAGCTACTCCAATGAGCACCGTCACATGATCTAGGAGTCCCTACATATATAAATGAAATAAAATATCAAAATGGAATAATATCAATATGAGTTATGAAAAATTATGACTACACTGTGTCTTCACTTGATGAAAATTATATAACAGTATACTTGATAATAATTAAAGAATTTTTTTAATGCATTTTTTTCAAGGCGAGTTTTGCTACACAGTAGCTTCATCAGTTGGACTGGTACATGAAACTATTCCAAAATACCTGTTATATAGGTAAATACAAAACATAATTAGATGAATGACTAATTGTGGTAAAATAGTAAAATATTACTTCTCGGAAAACAGGTAAAATATTGGAATTTTTTGAGAAAACTTGATCAATGATAATTTTTGGCAAAACAGGTACATTTTGAAGAGAAAAAATAAGAATACGATATTACTTTTAGGAAAACAGATAATTTATGAATATATTGATAATGGTGAATGAATAATTTCTTGTGGATCGTTTGAAAGAACACTTGGATACACCTGCCGATGACTGGATCGGAGATATTAACTCAGGACGTATAAACCTCTGAGGAAGCTAGCCACTAGCACCAGCAAAGGGTCAGGAGGAAATTCCAAAAATCTAAGGCTTTCAAACCCGGAAAATAGTGACACTGAATAATTTTTTTGTTTGGTATCTTTAACTTGGATGAGAAATACATTTCATTGGTTTACGGTCTAAAATTGTGTAAGAATTTTTTGCAAACGCACCCCAACAAGAAATTTTATTACATCGATGTGAAAATGTATGCATTTTCTATATTTCAAATAGACTTGTGATTTCTGGCGCCAATAAAATAACTACTTGTGTGTGTTTATGAAAATTTTGAATAATTTAGAGAAAATTTTGGGATCCTATTCAAATAAGTGTTCATATGTCTATTGAAAAAGTCATTTACTTTCTGCTTTTTTCCTGAGTTTCTGGAAGCAACTGTAAGAATCGCAGATCTAAATATAAGGGGAAGCTGAAACCTTCATTTCCACTAATTATAAATTTTTACACTACAACGAATCGACACATATATTGTCATTACCTCTGTATATTCAGAAGTTCCATCAAGGGGATCTACCCATACAACAATGTCTTCAGGAACAGTGTTGACAAACGAAGGGGGACAATTCGCAGAGAGAACAGACTGATCACTCTCTGTCACAATCCAGTCACTTGGTACCTGAAGAAAAAACGAAACGAGGCATTGAATTTGAGGTGTAGGGGAAAATCATTGAGGTACAATATAATTCAAATAATTGAAGACTCACGTCAGATTCACTGAGTTGTCCCTCTTCTCCTATAATGGTGACATCAGGAAATTGCTTCGATAGAGATGCAACTATGCATCGTTGCGCCGATCGGTCTGCTTCTGTCTGAACATCATTTTTCTCTAATCCCTGCACAAGACAGATATATTTGTTATTGAATGAATATATCATTGTGGTTATGTCAACGAGTGCATAAACAGGATACTATTCTTAGGTATAGTCTTAGTTACTAATTATTGTATTTAGTTCTTGGGTATTGTTGCATAAATCCACTGCAAGTTGACATTTCTGTTAGATGAATAGTACTCCTCGATATAACTATTTCAAATCTCAAAAAATCCACATTTAGGTGAATATTATGATCCAATGACAATGTAATCACAATGAAGAATTTAAGAATGCCATATATGAATGAAAACCACGGAGTATTTGGAAAAAAATTCTTTATCTGAAGTATTCTGACAAGTAACCTACCATGTTTTACAATGAAATAAACCAAAAATTGATCAAAGCTAAATGGCGCTAAACATTTCTCTTCTCTCTTGCTTTGTTTGAAATAAATACTTCAAGTGAACATACCTTTAAATTAAATCATGTGATTTTGAGATGATCATGAAAAAAAATGACAATTTCTGATACTTTAATTAACAACTGTGGAAAATAAAAATCAAATGCTTTTTGGAGGCTGCAAGGCAACAACTTATTGATCATTTCTAAACAAAATTGCGTTATTTGATACATGAAGGTGGGTACAAATAAATTTAATATTTACCTTCTCTACAATGCCTAGTTCACCCTTGGTCATAACATCTTTAATTATTTTTCCGGCTCGTGTAGCAGCAGTTACTGAGGAAGCCAACAGCCGCAGAATTAGAGGCGCACTTTGAGCCATTTTTAAGGATATGTTCAGCAAAGATGTTAAAACACAAATGAAAATAATTCAGATGTCAATATGGGAAAAATGAAATCTGATTGTACCATATACAAAAAACCTTTGTAACCTTGTTTGGTTGATTTCGCTTAGTTTAGATACGGAATTCAAGAACAAACGAAGCATTCAAGAGGAACAAAAATAATTACATTTATTGAAAGATTTGAAACGGGATTTTGACTTGACGTTTGACCTACTTTTTTACTGATTAAGACGGCAAAATTCAAAAATTGACATTGACATTGAAACTACTTTTTACAGTTTTGCTCTTTGATCGTGTAGGTCACGTTCGGTTATTGCAGTGAAAAAAAAATGATGTTTTTAAAATCAACTGCTGGTACATAAATGTAGATTGACCGACATCTGAATGTTAATTCATTGATGTGTTAGGAATCACACGTTAAAAGGTAAGACCTCGTTAATCCATCATGATGAAAATAAGCTGGTAGATTTATTTATTTATTTATTTTACGGGATCACCCCCATTTGAGAATGAAATTAACTATTATATAATAAAGTAATATACTACATTACATTAACTTAAGTTATTATAAAATACATATCATAATACGACCATGCAGTTAAGAGATTGCTTTTGAATTTGCTGAGAGATATACCTGTTACTTCCAATTTTCTTTCATTAATAAATCGAAGAGTACGATCAACAGTTATTATAAGTTATTATAAAATACATATCATAATACGACCATGCTGTTAAGAGATTACTTTTGAATTTGCTGAGAGATATACCAGTTACTTCCAATTTTCTTTCATTAATGAGTCGAAGTGTACGATCAACAGGGTTATGTAAGCCATAATTTGTAGAATGAAACCGTATGTGAAACAAATCGCTGGACCTTAGGTTCTGTTTGGGACATTGAAATTATTATTTTCTAGAATTTCAGGAGCAACAATTAAGCCATTCAGTAACTTGTATATTAAAATTAGATCAAAGTTTTCCCTCCTTTTTCCCAACAGATTGAGATTAAAGATTTCTAAAATGTTGCTATAATCATGGTCAATAACAGATATACTCATTCTATGAGCACAAAATCTTAGGAATTTGTTTTGAACTCTTTCAAGAGTAAGATCACAATCTTACTCATTGAGCCATAATATTGATACTACCAGAGACAAGTAAACTATCCTTAAGACTTGAAGGGACAGATTGTCATGAATGACCTCTCCACCTCCTTTTAAAAAACTTGACATCATGGACGCAGACCTAATATTTAACAATATGTTATTTGTTGTTATCTATTATTTCCATAATATGTAAAATGAGGATATGGAATTATTTCCAGAAAACATCCTAATATTATACAGCATACTCTAAAATGCATAGAATATCCCCAGTGTGATCAACTGAACCCCTTCCTTATGAAAAATATTGTGTTAATAACTCTCGACCTAATAAAGAATTGATAAAGAGATTCAATAAATTTCAACACTTCTTTCAGAGGTACAAAGTACAACTCAAGTGACGCAACTTGACAATTTCAATTTAGGTGAAAGTTTTTCTACATTATGATCCATAAAATGTAGATCAGAACCAATAGGTACGCGCGACAAATTTAGATTCTTGTATCATCTATCCACATGAATGGAGATAGAGAGAATCGTTTAAAAAACCAGGGTTTTTTGGTTTCTTCGCATCTTCAGTACGAGTAACTGTGTGAGGTAACTGTTTCATTTTTTTGAAAAGTAACAAAGTAACACAATCGGTTAAAATGTAACAAAAGGGTTACGGTTGTAACATTCAGAAAAACGACATTACTCTGAGCTGTTTTTGTTATACCTACCAAATTGTGTTGGTTTGTAATAAGGGGAGTTCTTCAATTAAATATAAAATTTCTGAACAGTTGCTTCAACCAATAGAAATGTGTTCGAACATACCAATATTTTCCATAACAGTCACAGACCATGGTCTGTGATAACAGTCAAACAGTCCAAAGTCAAGGGTTACGTCAATCCTCAAAGTAACAAAGTCAGTGAGATCCGAACCTGGAAAATAGAAGAAATTAACCTATAATAATGTCAAATATAACCTATTATTTGTAAAATTTTAAAATCCTATGAATTAAAAATGTTTTTAGGAAACACCAAATTACCAAAAAGGACTTTCAATAATGTAATTCAATTTTCAAGGCTCAGGAGGTATTACAGTGAAAAATTAACGATTCCAGAAGTAAATATTCCATTTTCAAATGGGTGAGTACACAATACAATATTTCAGAGACGTTTGGAGATACAGAGTAAACATTTTAGGCGTAACTTGAATATATCAACAGGGCAGTATGCCCGATTAGCGGACGGTTGTGCAGTAGCGACCTTAGGAGACACGTCTGTAATGGTAACGGTAGTATCCAAATCTAAATCAAGCAATAGTGGTTTTCTCCCACTAACCGTAGACTATCGTCAAAAATCAGCCGCTGCTGGACGTATACCGACAAATTTTTTCCGTCGAGAATTGGGGCCTTCCGAACGTGAAATATTGACATCTCGTCTCATAGACCGCAGTCTCCGCCCTCTCTTCCCAGAGCATTTCAATTGTGAGACCCAAGTTATCTGTAACATGTTAGCAGTTGATGGAGTGAACAACCCTGACGTCATTTCAATAAATGCAGCATCGGCAGCTCTATCACTAAGTGATATCCCTTGGAACGGGCCTGTCGGAGCAGTGAGAGTAGGCCTCATCAGCAACGAGGTTGTGATTAATCCCACAAGGAAAGAATTGCAGGGTTCTATTTTGAATTTGGTGGTATCAGCAACAAAAAGAAATCTGGTTGTCATGTTAGAAGGCAATGCTGATGTCATATTGCTTCCAGACTTGCAAAAGGCTATCAAGCTGGCTACTAAGGAAGTTCAGGGTATTGTGAATGAGATCGAGAGGATGCAGAAGGCTTATGGCAAGCCTAAAAGGCAGCTTGATATCCCTGTAGAGGTGTCTCAGGAAATAACTGAGGCGTTACGCTCTTTTTCAGAAATGCGAGTCCGGGAGATTTTCAAAAACTATAATTTGGATAAGATAAGTAGAGACAATGCTCTCAGTGATGTTAGGACAGACGTATTAGACAAAATTAGAATAAATTTTCCTGATTCGGATAGTTCGCTAGTAGCAGATAATTATAATAAGATGGTGAAGCAAATTTTTCGAGATTTGGTATTCGAGGAACGAAAACGGTGTGACGGACGCGAGTTTGATGAAGTGAGAGATATTTCTTGCAAAGTGAACCTTTATAAGCCACTGCATGGGTCTGCTTTGTTCCAAAGAGGGCAGACGCAAGTTTTCTGTACTGTTACTCTGGATTCACATGATAGTGCTCTGAAACTGGACCCCCTAAGTGTTTTAACAAGGTATTAAATTAATTCTACTCGATTTTGAACAAAAAAGTAGAGCTCAATTATATTCAAAATAAATATATAAAATACACAATCGATTGGTGAATGATACAATAAGAAGTTAAGTAAATACTTCTTTTGTGTAACAGTTCAAAAGCTTGCAGTCAAGATTATCAAATTCAATTTTTTTTTGTTAACGGTACCATAACATTCAGATGTAGCGATATATTTGTCTCAACTTATTGAGAAAAGATGAATATTTTAGATTTTAATTTATGTATTTATTTCCTATGAAAATTATCAAAGTTCTATTGAATAATTGCCAATATTGTATTGAAAAAAATCTAATAGCGTTGCTGTTAGAAGTTATTATTCATTGATGGTTGACAATAATTTAACTAATAGAAAACAGTGTGTGTCTAGGGAAAAAAAAGAACTTTGGGTTCAGTTTAATTTTTAATTCATATAAATTCTGTTTCAAAATCATTAAATATTGAATTTTTTGTGGATGGCACATCACTTTATTTCTTTAGTAATACTAAAGAAATTTACAGTAACAAGTCTTACTATTTTTAAGTTGTAATCATATGATATACCTTATAATACACTTTTAGGAGAGATTAATTTTTTGGGAAAAAAAGGTATTTCAATAAACTATAATCATAACTCTTCATGCTATTTGATTTAATGCTTATGTATTCTTTTGCATATCTGAATTGTTCGATCTGATAATTTTCAAATCTAAATACCCAATTAGAAAATATATTCAAATCTTTCACTTCATCTTATTGAAAGAAAAAGAATTTTCCTGCTTGACTGTTAACAAAAAAAAATTTACCAGTCCTTAATCTGATAATTCAATAGTTGAATCGTTAAAGTGGTGTGAAAGAAAAAAACTTTTTCCTTCATTACGAGTTTCCACCTTTTGCCACCAAGGAGACGGGCCGTATGGGGCCAATTGGTAGAAGAGAGATGGGACACGGAGCTCTGGCAGAGAAGGGGCTGACTCCGACAGTACCAGACAACTTTCCTTTCACCATAAGACTGACATCAGAGGTTCTAGAATCAAATGGTAAGTGATTTTGATAATATTAATAATTTTACTGACTCTAAGCAGCAAGTCTTCATAATAATACTTAGATCAAACATTAGTTGAAGCATTACATCAAATGTTCATTGAAATACTTTTGAATATCATTGCAAAGAGTTGCCTATTTTGAAATTTACCATAATCTTTTAATTTGTGGATTTAAAAAGTCATTGATATAAGCTTCAAAATGGACAACTTTTTCCTACAGTTTTTCATTTATTTCATTCTGGCCCTCCTAATGGCAGACAAATGGTTTAATCTTTTATTTATTCATTTATTCATCTGTTTAATTATTTATTCAACTGGTACTCCAAATTGTGATTGAAAAATGTGAAAAATTAAAAAAAAAAAACTTTAAACCATTGTAAAAGTGTAAGAAAATATATAATTTCACCATAAACATATACAAATACAATTGTAGAATAAAAACTTTGTAACTTATGGAGAGACCTATGGCGAGTCAAAACAGTGCCACTATCTGGTTTTGGAACATGAACGCTTTCTTCTTGAGCTATGGTTTCGGCAGTTTACATGTTTACTATGCGATTACAATGTTGTATACCAGGTTTGTTGTGACAGATGTCTGAGAAGGCTCAATTTCCGCATTTGGTTTGAAATATGAGCTGTAGATTTCTTTTGAAAAATGAATAATGCTGCTTGGAATCATTACCACTCTCACTTTTATCAACAATTTTCTATATTATATTTCTTCTAGGATCCAGTTCAATGGCCAGTGTGTGTGGTGGAAGTTTGGCTTTGATGGATGCAGGTGTTCCCATCAGCGCTCCAGCTGCCGGCGTAGCCATGGGTCTTATAACACGTTATGACTTTACCAAGAAAGTTATAGAAGATTATTGTCTCCTCACAGACTTGCTGGTAGTTTTTACTTTAAATTTTGATTAGTTTGAAAATATACATAGCTTGAGCTAGAGCGTATTTGTAGGATATGTCTCCAGTAGATATGTCTCTAGAAGAGAAAGTAAAATTTCAAAACGTTGACTCGCGGCAATACATATTTTCTGAACAATAATAAATGGAGAGTTCTTGTAAGAATGTCCTATTTTTCTGCAGTGTGGCCCCCGTTGTGTTCAAATAAAACTGACCACTCTCAACTTATCAGACATCATCATAATACTATAATAGTTTCATTGGGGTCAAAATGTAAATTACAATGAATAAATAGAATGCGAAATACATGTAGGTAGCATGCATACCCCTTCTTGATTGCATTATAATAGTTTTTACTCTAAAATCAGTGTTGACTAAATGAAGAAGGTTATATTACAAAGTCTAAGCAATGACTGACTGGCGAGCTCCGTGTTCACTTTTATTTATAATCTCAGAGGGTAGTGGGGATGATGGTGGGAAAAGGGAGTGGGAGTGGTGGGTGTCATGCGAATGCTCGCTCCTGATTGGTCCGAACTTTTGCTGTGTTGTTCTAATTGGTCCATGTTGTTGACAAGTATGCTGCTGGTGAGAAGTCGATCTTATATTGTTTTGATCCAACTGATGGTACTTATGTACAACTGGTATTTTTCTTGAATCCTGTATTTGCAAATATCTTGTTTAGATTTGTCCTATCAACGCCTGATATTCATTTTCTTTCCATTTCAAGAAATATGCTGTCCAAAGTAATGTGCTGTTTAGATTTTTTCCTGAATTTCGTTACTTCCAGGTTAAGTTCTCTTCATATTTCGACACTTAGCTTCAGTTTTGATAGTGACAATTTCAAACAGCTTGTTTTGAAATTTTCTTGGAAATGAGATTATTTACATTTTATTCAATTTTGAGAGGTATCTATGACGCAGATTTTAGTATATCATAGCTTCATCTGATACTGCACACCTGAGACATATCCTCAGCGAATTTACTGTAATTATAAACTCGATAAATATATGCAGAATCTCCATTTGAGATGCCACTTGTTCAAATAGGTTTTCCATTTCAGGGCATTGAAGATTATATGGGAGACATGGACTTTAAAATCGCCGGCACGAAGAAAGGAATAACAGCTTTGCAAGCAGACGTAAAAATACCGGGACTGCCTCTCAAGCTGGTTATGGAGGCGATCCAAAAGGCAGGTGATGCCAAATCTCAAATTCTCAATATAATGCACGAGTGCATAGAGAAACCAAGGTAAGTTAATAAAACAACCCTCAAAATAAGGATATCTCAGATATCCGGCTCGAAGGACCAAATACAGTGTACTTGAATGAACCAATTAATCTCCATCATGTGTGAAACAAATGAGATTTTTTTATTAGTTGTCTGAGTGCATTTGTGTTTCAGAGTAGAAAAAAAGGACAATTGGCCGGTTTCCATGAAACTGGAAGTGGAAGCCCACAAGAGGTCGAGACTGTTAGGCATAGGCGGAATTAACATGAAGAAACTATTCGCTCAAACGGGTGTTCACGTGAGTTTACACCTCATCATTTTGTTTGCCTGCTGAAAATGCTTTTGCAGGTTTCGCAAGTCGACGATACGACTTTCGAGGTGTTTGCTCCTAGCAGAAGCGCTATGGATGAGGCCGAAGAGATCATCCAGAAGCTCCTGACGACTGAACGAGCGCCTGAATTGGAATTCGGAGGGATATACAAGGCGACTGTCGTGGAGCTTCGAGATATCGGAGTCATGGTCACGTTGTATCCCGGGATGCCTCCTGCTTTGCTTCACAACTCGCAGCTGGATCAACGAAAGGTATTTTGAAAAAAATTATACGATCAATAAAACACTAATGAGAGCTGAACGTGTTTTTCATCTTATGTCGTCTGGTAACTTCGAATAATTATGTTTTTTTTTTAATATCGGTACGAACATGGAAAGAAACAAGGTTTTCGAAATTCTATCAGAATATGCAAAGTTTTTTAAATGCGAAGCTAACAGTGCCACATTTTCAGATTGCTCATCCATCGGCATTGGGTTTGGAAGTTGGACAAGAGCTGCAGGTGAAATATTTTGGAAGGGATCCTGTTTCCGGTCTGATGAGACTGTCTAGGAAAGTATTGCAAGCAAATGTGCGATAACAGTAAACACATGTATAATTTATATTTTTTATTTTTGCCTCACTTTTTTACCAGTATGGTAGGTTTTTGTACATATTTATTTTACTCAATATATCATTCTATAGAAATTGTTCAGACTTACAAACACTTACAATAATAAAAGACTTCTATGAAACAAGTTCCCAAAATTTTCTCAATCAGCAGAGGGATTTACTAAACTAATAGCATTAAGTCTCCGTGANGTAGTAATATACAATTTGTATTTGTATATAAAAATTGTATTTTTATGTTAAAAAATATCTAATACTTTTCAAAGTCGTTCAGGGCCGCAAAAAACAAGGCCGCGGGCCGCCAGTTGGTCATCCCTGACATATAGTAAGGAGGCTTACTCGAACACTGGCTGCAAATACTCAAATACGATTATCTAAAAGAACAATTCGTTCAGGCCAGTCTCAACTCGCCTTCACTGTAGGTTAATGGACTGACGGCTAATACCACGAAGAGCGTTGGATTATATCCGGCAGGTGTCAGTGCAGGATTCTTCACAGAAGTAATTTCTGCATATGCTGTTGGCGATACAACTACCGGAATCGATTTTCAATTATTAGAACACACTTACAGATCGGTTTCGGGTTATTTGGCCACACGTCAGTGTAAGGTAGTGTCTATCATGAAAATGAATTCGATGATTTCCCATAATTGAAAATCGAATTGCTTTCAGAGTATCATTCGTCGAACTAGGCTGAAGCGAACGTCAAACAACATATTTGTCATCGCCCTATCTGCACGTGAACGAGATAATCAACCACTTATCCAAATTTGATAAGTTCCATTCATAATGATATATAGGGTTTTCCAACAGGACTTCCAAACGTTGACAATTGATAACGGCCATCTTGTTGAAGATACATCTGTCAAATTAGTTGCCAAATCATCATAGATGGATGTTTCATTCAACAACACATGGAAATGATAAAATCGTTGTATCAAAATAGGTGAACTGTTCGGGCAACGTACTAGGCGGGCAACGTACTATTCGCAATGTGGTGGATAAATTTGAGTCTACTGGTTCAGTTTATGATCTACTAACACCCCTACGTCGACGAAACGCATAATCTGCCGAAAACATTGCCGTTGTCTGTTAGAGTATGCAGTAGAATCCGAGGCAGTCGATTTTGCGTCACTCACAAGAACTTTGCCTTTCGCAGACCACAACTTGGCGAATTTTGCGTCGTGACTTGGGCCTGTACTCTTAAAAAATTCAACTGACCTAGGAACTGAAGGTAAACGACCATAGAAAACGACGTGTGTTCGCTGAATGGCCTCTGGAGCAGTTGGCAACTGACCCTAATTTTCATCTAAAAATCATCTTTAGCGATGAGGCCCATTTCTAGATGAATATGTACGTGAACAAACATATTTGTAGAATTTGAGGCGATACCAATCCACATGAGATCTAAGAACGTCCAATGCAATGGTATGGATTTTGGGCTGGCGGAGTCATCGACCCATATTTCTTCGAGAACGACGTTGACCAAACGATCACTGTCAACGGCGAGCCCTATATAAGTTGATTATTACCAACTCTTTTTGCCCTGAACAGGATGATCTGAACACCAACGACATGTGGTTTCAATAGGACGGCACTACGTGCCACACAGCTCATGCCACACTGGATATTCTGCATGCGCGATTTGAGGTCATGGTCATCTCACGTGGAGGTGATGTGAACTGGCTAACGAGATGGTGCGATTTGACCCCGTTAGACTTTTTAATGTGTGGTTTTCTCAAGTCGCAGGTGTATGCCAATATGCCACAAACCACAGCAGTCTTCAAATCCAACAACAACGTTGTTGTGGAATTGGCCGCGGTGGTAGTGCGCCCGACTCACGATCGGAAGACCGTGGGTTCGATTCCTGCCTCGACCAGATATTTTTCTCGAGAGAATTTATCTGGTTGAAGCTGGGATGATTCTGCAACCGTGTGGGGAATCACGCGTTAAAAGGTAAGACCTCGTTAGTCCTTAGCTCGCACATGTTTCCTAACTTCTGAGAGTTGTCGTTCGTATGGGGGCGACAGCTGATTAACGGAAAAACATATTTTAAACAGACACATTTTTAAACATAACCCATGCCATTGGTCAAATTCAGCCTGATTCATGTGCCCGTCTTTTAAACGAAAAAATTTTAATGATATATCACACACACTTTGGTTCATTTTAATTTGAAGATAGGAAGCGCTTAATGAAAGACCCTTTATTATGTCCAAGTCATTCAATTAATGAATAGTTGAAGTGTCAGCGAGTAGATAACAAAATAACTGGTGCTTTTGCTTCAGGAAGTGTGGTACGGTAGAACGGGTTCATTTTAGAAAAGTCGGGTAATTTTGTAAATCACTTCTTCATTTCAAATCTAGCAATCATGTCTACTCATGATGCTTTTACGCGGCGGCCGTTTCGAAGTTCTAGTTGAATGAACACGTGAATCTCTAAAGGTACTTTATTTCACAATGTCAGTCTCTTAATAAAACATGTAAAAAACATCGTAAATTTTGAGGAGTCAGTGAGTAATTGCGGGTATGTTTTTTATAAAAAATTGCGTGGGCGTTGTTATTACTTAGATGTAATATTTTATGGATCACTTTAAAACAAAATTTTTGATAGACTGGGCGACCAGGGCTATTTTGGACAATATTTTTTTGCATGTCCCAAAATAACCCTAGAATCCTAAAATAATCCCGAATTACCAAAAAATCCCCGATTTTGGTGGGAAAAAAGTGTAATTTCTAGATATAATCTGACAGCATCAGGATATGTAAGGCAAAATTGCATAGATACTCAGGTGTTTTTACTAATTCGCTTTTATTTTGTCGGAATTTGTCGACGCGCGAAATAAGATTGACCCAAATATTGTACACATTTTGATAGATGGAACAAGAATCGTTTCCAAATAATGTAAACATTAGTGTGCGGTCGTGCCTCTTTGTATGTAATGCCGAAGTACGTTGGATTTCTTTGTTTTATGAAGAATCAAGAGTGTCATCGTAACACATTCCATGACAACTATTCTTTCGATAATAGTTTTCAAATCAACTAATATAGTTATTGAATGTAATCAAATACAATGTAGTTTGACTTTTTCTTGAAATTATGGTTGGCCAACAAGAAAAATAAACGACGTTATCACAGTAGAAGTTCACGAGAAAGAATCAGTTTCTGATTCAGATAGCCAAAATAGGTACTTCAATCCAACTGCGCACAATATTCTCTCAAAGGAGTAGGTAAATTCCTGAGTATCCCAATAAACCGATTGTGTGGTTGTAGTGATAAAGACGATTATTATTATTAAGTAAAAGCTCATTAATTAATCACAAGTGAGGATAAAATGAATATATTATTTTCAGCTAATTTTTTATCGTGCCACACAAATTCGGACTTGCGTGAAGTTAGCGTCGGATTCCAGCTCCCAAATCTACCGCCCGTCCCTCACTCTCGAGCCCAATTTACACCACACAACTAATGGATTGTTGAATCATGAAGAGCGCTAATTTGCCATCTAATGCTTTTCATCATTAGTTTCAACTTCAAAATATTATAGCTACTTTATGAAGCTTTCATAATCTGTAGTAGAATCACTAGGGGGAAGAAGTAGGATTTGTTGAACAGTTAATTTTCAAGACTTGAAAATATCGGTGTCTTAGAAAAGTGAACTTCTAACACTAAAGTTTAATATATCGCTTCCTGAATTATAAATAGTCCCCAATCATGACAAAGTGAAAACTGTTATCGGAGAGATGAATTTTTCAGACCTTCAATAAAGTGAGACCATAAAAAAGGTTGAAAGAAAAAAGATGTATTCATTTCTTGGTTTTCATTCCCTCAAAATACGCCGTTATTTTGAGGTATCGGAAAAATACACATTTTTTTTTCAACCTTTTCCGAGAAGGATTGAGGAGGAAGTATTCATTATGATGTAACCATTTTGAAGGACTAAAAATTTAGCGTCTAGAACATCATTTATTCAATATTATTTTATTCAATAACGATTTACAGTTTAGCGAAATATTCCACTTAAGAGTTCACTTTTCTAAGACACCGATATTTTCAAGTCCTGTATATTAACTGTTCAACAAATCCTTCTTCTGCTAACATTCTTCACTACGTTATGAATTTCATCAGTCGTAATGCAACATTGAGGTTATGTGTTTTTTATCAATGGCTTTGACTGTGTTTTAATTCTCCCCCCAGTCATTATACTACCTACAGATTGTAAAAACTCCATGTAGTATAATAATACTTTGAAATTGAAACTAATCATGAAAAACTGTTGCCAAATTAGCGAGGGTCATGATTCAACAACCCATACTTTGTGTGTTTTAAATCGGACTAAAGAATGGGGGGTGGGCATCAGTTTTCGGCACTGGTGTCTTTCGTCAACTTCACGTAAGTCAATTGTGAGAACATTTTATTGCTATTGCTTTGAACAACAAATTATTTACGCAATATAAAAACTGAAATGTTCAATTCACCTTTCTGTACATGCTAACATTCTTCACTAAGTTATGAATTTCATCAGTTGTAATGCAACATTGAGGTTATGTGTTTTTTATCAATGACTTTGACTGTGTTTTAATTCTCCCCCCAGTCATTATACTACCACAGATTGTAAAAGCTCCATGCAGTATAATAATACTTTGAAGTTGATACTAATCATGAAATTATCGAGGGTCATGATTCAACAACCCATAAATTGTGTGTTTTAAATCGGACTCAAGAATGGGAGGTGGGCATCAGTTTTCGGCACTGGTGTCTTTCGCCAACTTCACGTAAGTCAACATTTTATTGCTATTGCTTTGAACAACAAATTATTTACGCAATATAAAAACTGAAATGTTCAATTCACCTTTCTGTACTTTGATCAGATTACAATCAGAAATCTGAACTTCCTTCAGCCTGGGTACGTTCCTGAAAGCGGCAGGATGTACAGTTTTCAAATCACAATTCAAAAAAGTAAGTATTTCCATACGCTCCATATCCCTGACAGAATCCGCCTCAAGTTTCGGTATTTTCTGGTTCCGAATACGAGCTTCTACAATCGTCCTGTTACCGAATTCAATCCTTTCTATGCAACCGTTCACTGTGGAATTATATACAAGCCCGTCACTGTCTCTCAAATCAACCAAAACATTCTTAAGGGACCTACAGTGAGCCGCACATAGTTCAGAGTTTATTATTATCATTATCATCGGTGTGAGAAGTTTACAAGTGAAGATGAAACGGGTCATCTTGACGAATCACTGGTTGTGGATGCACTGCTGTTTGCATCGTTGTATATTTTAAACTCTTTTGAATAACGGAGGTCAAGCTTCCTAGAATGTTTATCTGCGGATTTCCCACGTCATAGTCCAGTCAATGTTATCAGTTTTCATCAGATTTCAGGTTAGTTGAGGAGAACTTTAGGGCGAGTTGGAATTTACCCAATGGGGTGCATAAAAATTCTTGGGTTTCATAAAAATTGTTTGAGAAGTAACATTTTTCTTTTACTGGAGAAAAATTGTACACTATAGGTAAGACCTTTTCTTGATAAGTAAATCAAGCTGGATTCGTCCTCTGAGTAAAGCCCATTTGGCAGAGTTTAGGCCAATATGAAATTCCACTAGGTGAAGTTTCTTATGGACCAAAGAAGTGAAGCACACAACAATCTTCATCATTATGGAAGCTGGGGCAAACCACAGTTGAGCAAATTCACTATTGTACATTTATTCCAAACTTTTGATACATTTCATTCTCATCTTCAGGGAACTACAATATAAAAAAGAAAAAGGGATTGATACATCAGTTGAAATCACTTTTTACTTACTTTGTTGGTTGTATGGCAATGTTTTTGTTACTGGAATTTAGAACATTTTGATATAAAATTCAATATGAATGAATAAATGTATAAATAATATTAATGAAGTTTTATCTCAACACCCAACCTTTATTTTTAATTACTCGACACAGGAGAGAACAGCTCTGGGTAAACCCTGGCCCCCTACCCTAGCTAACCTGTTCATGAGCACATTCAAAATGGAAACCAAAGAAAGTATTTCCCTAGGATATGGCTGAGGTGTGTGGATGATGTTTTTGCGATATTCGATAACAAAACGATAACGGTTTCTCGAGAGGTATTGTAGATGATATTATAGTTAGGTTAGGTTATAGATATTAGGTTAAGATTGAACGAAATCTCGACTTTCAAAAACGACGGAAACCAAGATAAATATATCTCAGTTCCATACCACCAATACACGAAGAACTTTGGAAAGATTTTCAAGGAACTAGGTATTAAAGTGGTATTTGAAACAAGTCATACACAACAGAGCCTTTTAGGAAATTCAAAGACAAAGTCGAGAGTTCGGAAAAATCTGGAATTTACGAAATTAAATGTAAGGACTGCAATGCAAAATATCATGGACAGACGAAAAGATCTATTAAAATAAGATATAAGGCACGCTTAGCACACCTAAAATATGGAAGACCAGAAAAATCAGTAGTTGCCTATCATGTTTTGCAACAAAACCATTCCATAGACTTCAGTTCATTAAGATTAGTTAAACAAGTTAACAACAACAGGCATCTAGATGCCTATGAGAGCTTAGAAATGAATCAACATAATAATATTATGAATAACGATGGTGGACCAATGCCAAATAGTTTACTATATAGTTTGTGAAATAATATTTTTAGTTATCATAATCATCTGGCTAGTAGATAAGGCGACATTATAAAACAAAATAAAACAACATTAAACCTTACTTTCAACACTCATATCATAAATAGCTATTATCATATCGACTTTATTATATATAGTGTCTGAATGTGATTAAATATAATGTAGTTTGACTTTTTCTTCAAATTACTGTTTTTCAATTCCGCCGAAAATCATTTTAAACAGACTTCCCTTTTGGCCAAAAAGAAAATATAAACGGTGTTATTACAATAGGAGTTCAAGAGAAAGAATCGGTTACTGATTCAAATAGTCAAACTAGTTAATTCAATCCAACTGCGCACAATATTCTCTCAAAGGAGTAGGTAAATTCCTGAGTATCCCAATAAACCGCTTAGTAAGCTCCTCATCAATATCTTCCTGACAATCCTGAACCCGGGACTGTTTTTGAGGAAAAGCACAAACTGGCACAGAACTCATATCACAGTGTTTGGCCTTGATCAAGGTAACATTAGTAGCATACATCCATTGGAGTAAACTATCATAGCAGGAACATTTCCATGGGTTGTAGTCTATAAGGAGTTCCTCTACTGAAAGCTTGGTGTACGTCTTCTTCGGCAAAAAGTTGAGTAGGTTCGCACTTATAATGAGATTCCTGATCCTGATTTGTGTGGGAAATGCATCTTCCTTGATGATCTTCAATCTGTTGTGCTTCAGTCTCAGGTGATCCAGGTCGCTCAAACCTTCGAAGGCTCCTGACCCGATGGAGTCGATTTCGTTGTAATCGAAGTTGATCTGCTTCAGTTTTTTCATGTTCGCGAATGCCTTGGGAGGAATGGACCGGATTTTGTTTCGTTGAAAGTCCATGGTCTCTAATCTGATGTAAGATTCATCGAACCAGTCTCTTCGCCATTCGGTTAGCTTGTTGTTGTCGAAGTAGATCCTTGTTAGGACAGATAGATTCGCAAAGGTTTCGGGTTCGATGATTGTTATCTGGTTGTGATCCAGTTTCAATATTTCCAAGTTGTTCATGGGGTAGAATACTCCTGTAACGAAAAATCGAAGTAAATAATGAATACATTACATACATCTACATTAGGATACACTAGCACATTCCTTAGGTGCAATGAATAGCCCTGTATATTCAATTTACCTTTCTGTATTTTGGTCAGATTACAAAAAGAAACCTGAACTTGCTTCAGTCTGGGTACGTTCCTGAAAGCGTCAGGTTGTACAGTCTCCAAATCGCACTCTAAAAACGAAAGTAGTTTCAAACGCCCCATGTTCCTGACAGAATCCGTTCCAAGTTTCGGTATTTTCTGGTTCCGTATATGAACCTCTTCAATCTCCCTGTCACCGAATCCAATCCTTTCTATACAACCGTTCACCGTGGAATTATATGCAAACCCGTATCTGTCTTTCAAACCAACCAAAACATTGTTGAAGGACCTGCATTTAGCCGCACACGGTTCAGAGTTTATAATTATTATTATTATCATTGGTGCGAACAGTTTACAAATGCAAATGAAACCGGTCATCTTGACGTATTACTGATTGTTGATGCACTGCTGTTTGCTTCGTTCAACTCTTTCTTTCGGATAAGAGGGGTCAAGCTTCGTAGAATGTTTATCTGCGGATTTACCAAGTCATAGTCCAGGAAATACGGCCAGATTTCAGGTGAATAACTAGAATCTCTGTGCGGGTTGGGATTTACTCAATGGGTTTCGTGTAGATTCTTGGGTTTCATGGAAGAATGATTAAGAAGCAAGATTTTTCTATGACTACTGAAAAATTGTGAACCATTTGACTCTTCCTTGATTTACGCTGGTTTTGTCATCCGAGTAACACTCATTTCACAGTTTTGGCCACTAGGTGAAGTTTCTTATTGACCAAAAAGGTGAAGCACACGACAGACAATCTCCATCATTATGAAAGCTGCGGCAAACCCCTGTTGAGCACTATTGTACATTTATTCGAAAGTTTCGATGAATTTGATTCTCATCTTCAGGAGACTACAATATAAAAAAATTTGGAAATCTTTCAATGAAAGGAAGGAAGGAACCGATTTCAAAAAATGAACTTCATACAAAAATGAGTACATCATTCAAAGAAGCAACATTCAGACACAAACTGGCCGTTGATTCAAATCAAAAATAAATATAAGGAATTGTTACATCAGTTGAAATCACTTTTTACTTATTTTCTTGGTTGTATCGCAATGTTGTTGTTGGTGAAATTTTAAAAATTTGGTTATAAAAGTCATCATGAATGAATAAATGTATGAATATTCAAAAAGTAGAAACTTTGACATGATGTAATAGTATATTACGTACCGAGTAGGATAAGAAGCCAATTACCCACGAGCGAAAAATTGTAAGCACAAGGCGTTAGCCGAGTGCGATAATTGACGAATGGACGTAATTGGCCTTATCTTCGAGGTGCATACTATACTTTTTCTACGACTGACCGTAGAAAGGAATGGTACAATATATTTATTTGAGATTATGGCCTTGGATAATAAACTCATTCAGTTAGTCAATCAGAACTCAATTGATTGATTTAAAAATCGGGGACAATATTTCCTAAAAATTTATTTATTAGGGGTCATTTTTTCATACGTTTTTGCTGAATTTTCGAAATAAACGAGAAGAAGAGTTTCGGAAAACGAATTTATGTTTTTCTTCCCTCTCCAACTCATAAAATTCTCGAAATTATATTCGTATTTTTGTCTTGATTTTGCAAGTTGCAAGTTGCAAATTAATCATCGCAATATTTATTTGCTCCGTAATATTTAGTGGGGTAGCACAAATTTCTTGAGCGTTATCATTCATTTTGAATTTTTACGAGATAATGAATACTGAATGACAGCTTTTACCTACTTAAAACAAGTGGTTGTTGATTCATGGATATAAATGACCAGATCCATTACCAACCCACAAACTTTGAACAATAAATTTACTGATAATATGATTTTTATTTCGATTTTACAGAAAATTTGGAGAGAACATTCACTGATTTTGGCTTTTGGACAATTGAATGTATTCATGAGATCATATTAATCATAGTAAATGTTACATATCTGATAATTTTTTAAAATTTTTCACGGAAGTGACCACCATTAATTCAGAATACACGTATATTCTAGAATACACGTGTATTCTAAATGAGCCATTACCTACCTGCTGTCAAACGCGTAATGATAAGCTTAAAATGGAGGTAGTAGAAATATGAATTTATTGATAGTTGACAAATTTCAAAAGTCATCTGACTTAAGACAAGTCAAAAATCATAATAAAATTTTGTTCCAAAATAAATATGAATTTCTTTATTTATGATATTCTGATGGAATATAAATTAGTTCAAATTAAGTTGATATTACAATCGACAATAATCATAGGACCTCTAGCAATCATCATTTCTTTAATAGTATTGAATTTTGTTATATGTATGAAAAGTGTGTGAGAAAATTTTGTTCAGAGGTTATAATTTTTTGCATATTACTATCACAAAAATATAATTTCAGAAACTCCGGACACTCGCATAGGACATGCCTGACAGTTTAATCTGCCTATTCACACATCCTGTATAGAGGTGTGTTCACTAGCCCCATATTATGGAGATGTTCTCTTAGTTGACAGTGGCCAGTCAGAAATCCTACTGTCAAGCGTAGATTTTTCCTGGGGTAGCACAAATTTCTTGAGCGTTATCATTCATTTTGAATTTTTACGAGATAATGAATACTGAATGACAGCTTTTACCTACTTAAAACAAGTGGTTGTTGATTCATGGATATAAATGACCAGATCCATTACCAACCCACAAACTTTGAACAATAAATTTACTGAAAATATGATTTTTATTTCGATTTTACAGAAAATTTGGAGAGAACATTCACTGATTTTGGCTTTTGGACAATTGAATGTATTCATGAGATCATATTAATCATAGTAAATGTTACATATCTGATAATTTTTTAAAATTTTTCACGGAAGTGACCACCATTAATTCAGAATACACGTATATTCTAGAATACACGTGTATTCTAAATGAGCCATTACCTACCTGCTGTCAAACGCGTAATGATAAGCTTAAAATGGAGGTAGTAGAAATATGAATTTATTGATAGTTGACAAATTTCAAAAGTCATCTGACTTAAGACAAGTCAAAAATCATAATAAAATTTTGTTCCAAAATAAATATGAATTTCTTTATTTATGATATTCTGATGGAATATAAATTAGTTCAAATTAAGTTGATATTACAATCGACAATAATCATAGGACCTCTAGCAATCATCATTTCTTTAATAGTATTGAATTTTGTTATATGTATGAAAAGTGTGTGAGAAAATTTTGTTCAGAGGTTATAATTTTTTGCATATTACTATCACAAAAATATAATTTCAGAAACTCCGGACACTCGCATAGGACATGCCTGACAGTTTAATCTGCCTATTCACACATCCTGTATAGAGGTGTGTTCACTAGCCCCATATTATGGAGATGTTCTCTTAGTTGACAGTGGCCAGTCAGAAATCCTACTGTCAAGCGTAGATTTTTCCTGGTCATCGCCAGATATTTCTTCGGCGCCAGCTTCCCAGGGTCGCCCAGGGTGATCCTGGCAAGATTACATCTTTTGATTTCATCCCATCTCTTTAGGGATTGAGCATGGGTTTGACGTTTGGCTAGTTCCGCAATTGTCNGCGATTGAGATACCAGCCTATGACCCTATGTTGAGGTTTGTCTGGAGAAATAGAATAAAAATAAATTAAATTTTAATATAAAGAAATGGTTGATTAAGAAATATGTGCCATTTCTAAAAAAAATTGCAGTAGTGTTTTAAAACATGTTCGCCCAGTGCACATTTTGCAGGGTGTAATCTACAGTCACAGAGATGTTGGGATAAATGAATATTCCGAATTTCAATTCGAAATATTTATTCAGGAAATACTTGATTGTAAGATTTTCACTAAACTGTTTTAAAAAAACGCAAGGCGTATTTAGCTATACAAAAGCTTTTTCAGGCATGTATAGAGACGCCTGAAGAAGCTATACAAATAGTTGGTGTATATTTCTTACTTTTTTTTTGCTACATTCACGAAAAATCATTGGATATATCAGATGAATTCGTTTCTCCAATAATTAACTGTCGTTAATGCATTGTTATTTTCGGTTCTTCATTTCCATTGAGTACATGTATATATAATTTGCCACGTAGCTCTACTTTTATTTGAGTAGTTTTGTATTTTATTGAAATAGAAATGAATTAGAGTAGGTACATTGTGCAGAAAGTCTATTTTGTTTTTTTGCATTTTTATAGTCAAAGTCGATTATTGAAAATGTAGATATTTCATTTGTTATCTTTTGGCTCACTGATTTTTTATTGTTTTCCTATTTTTTCATTGGTACTAAATTGAAATACATGTTTTCAGCGCGGTGTTGTTTTCTATCAGTTCTATTATTTAATAAAATCATCCACTTCAATTGTGAAGGATTACTTTTATTCCATAAAATTCATGTGCGTCTGTCTTGAAGTTTAAAAAAATGCAAGCGCTTGCTACATACCAGATCAATCAATTCATGAGCTGACCATTTAACGGAATATATCTTGACAGAACAGAAAGAAATGAATTCAAAGGTATTTGGCCAAGCAAGTGACTGCAAATTCTTTCACTTTTGTCAATTACTGATGTATCAGGTGTTTGAATTTGAGTACAATTATAAAAATTGATATATTTTTTTGATGACACTATATATAGGACACCCAGTAGAACCATAAAAAAGTATACTCCTATGATTACTAGTCCAGGTTTGACTTTCAATGAATTAAAAGTCAAGAATGCATTTATATTTTTATATATTCTGTAAAACTAACAAGTTATCAGTCTCATGTATAATTTAGTTCATTCCCACTTCATTTTGTTACATTTTGAAAAACTCCCAACTGATAAATTACGCATCAAAACTGACAAGTGACGCATCAAAACAGTTAACGTATAATAACTGAGTGATAACGTATCAAAGCCGAGAGGATTTTTACACGTTTCATCATTTTTGATACGTTAACTATCACTTTTGAAGAAGCTAATGTTAACAACCACTCGGCGCGAAATGCTCTGCTTAGTTCAAAAGTTACAGTTTCTTTTGTCGATCTAATTTGTTGCAATTTTTTGTCAAGCAGGAACTAGCAGTAGTCACTAAAGTGTCAGTCTAATCTTGCACAATATTTATGTTTATCAGTTGAAGAAGCCCTGAAACTATTGAGATACCTTTGAGTAAGTTCATCGTCTACATATTCCAAACACGATTGGGAGTACAAATTCGGATAAGCACAAATTGGAATAAAATCGACCTCGCACGTATGATCCTTGTCTGAAGTTCCTTTGGTAGTATAGAGCCAGTAGTTTATCCTATCAAAACACGGGCATTTCCAAGGGTTATGGTACAAGAGAACCCCTTCCACGAACATTTTCTTCAGAACCTCGTTAGAAATGAAATTGAGATAGTTGGCGCTGAGCAACAACCTCTTAATCTTGATGTCGTTTGGAAAAATATCTTCATTGAGGACCTTCAGCCTGTTGTTCCTCAGTCCCAAGTATTCCAAATACGTCAATCCTTCGAAAGCATCTGGCTGAATAGCGCTGATTTCGTTGTAGTCGAAGAAAATTTGTTTCAGTTTCGGAAGAGCTGCGAAAGCTTTTCTTGGTATCGTTCTGATTTTGTTCTGCTGGAAATCCATAACTTCCAGATTCGGGCTGGCATCAAACCATTCTCTGTTCCAATATTCCAGGTTATTGTCGCTGCCGAACACTTTTTTCAAGGCGGACAAGTTCGCGAAGGCTTGATTTTCGATGAAGTCTATTTGGTTGTTGTGGAATCTCAACTGCTCTATGCTGGGAATATGATTGAAGACATCTGTAATCAGAGAATGGAAAAGACGCTTCTACAGAAATATATACCGACTATTTCAATAATAAAAGGATTTTTTCGTGTCACATTGATAAATCTCATATGATTTTGTCCATGAAAAACGTACCGCAAGTTGATTTGTGAGGAGGACAAGCTTTGACCCAAAAACCACTGCGAAACCTTCATTAACCTTCACAGAGGAGTCATTTGCACATGAGAATCAAGAGCAAGGAGGGTTCGATTTCCTAAATGTAGCTGCAATGTAGCGATGCGGCAACGGTCAAAGTGAACTTCGACGAAATCTCATGGACGAAACGTCGTATTGCGAATTGGTTTGTATCAGATTAGGTATAATAAATATGAAACAGTATTGAAAGTTCCTCTATTTTTTTTTGTATCATTCAAAACGGAGGCGGTGGAGCCATTGCCGGATTCAAGCATAGGCAACATAGGCAGTTGCCTATGGGCCGCCACCACAAGGGGGTCGCCACCACACCACAAAAAAAAATTAATTAAGTCGATAAAAGCTCAGTAGAAACAAAAAATACTGAGTTTTGTTAGAGTTAGACGAAAAACTTATTTTTTTCTCTGAGCGGGAGAAGTTAACAATGAAAAAGTTCGAGATCAAGCAGCACAAAAATGGACACAAATGGCGTTTTACCTCGCCGCCCTAGACCAATAACAACAGCGGAAAATGGCGTCTCACTTACTCTATCTATTGAAAAAAGGCCACAGTTGTTGTCTCAGAGCAATAAGTTTCTTTAGATTTTTCAGAAGAGCTGTATATATATTACTGCTTCACTTCAACTACAATTCAGTTAGTCGCTGTTTAAGAGAAGCAAAAACCGACCGACAACAACTCGCTGGTCATGTCAAGTTGAAGCCACTAAAGCCCTCTTGCGAGGCTATAAAGGTTTTATAAATGCCCTCGAAGAAATTATTGAGGACGAAGAAGACACAGCTAAATCAAGAGCAACAGCTGTCGGTCTCCATGATGGTGTGGCAAAGTTAGAAACAGCTATATATACAGTTTTTTGGGATGATATTTTGGGACATTTAAATTAAGGTCAGCGAAAGCCTACAAAATCCTAAATTGGACTTGAACACTGCTGCAGCACTGCTTACTTTATTAAAACCAACCATTGAAAATAAAAGGGACAGTTTTAATGATTATGAAGTAAAATATTTCGAGCAAGTCGATTGCTGAAACTGAGAAGAAGAAAAAGGAGGAAAACAAAAAGAAACGTCCGGTTGTCCACTTTAGATTGCTCGCAAGCTTCGGAAGTTGAGTTGTCATCCTCGGACAAATTCAGAACTCAAAGCTACCTCCCAGTTGTCGACCAGCTCATGACCGCTCTTCAAGAGAGAATGGACGCGTACTCACTTCTAACTGCATGATTTGAATTTTTGAAAAATTCAACAACTATGTCTGATCAAGAAATTTTCTCTGCCAGCCGCGACGACGTAGATGATACTCTTGGCAACGAATTCATATATTTCAAACTATTTATCGTTCACTATGAAGAATTTAAACAAAAGAGGAGAGGAGACATTAGCTATGGGAGGAGGATGTATGAATTGTTGTGTGAAAACAAAATTAAAGAGTGCTTTCCCAACGTTGAGGTAATTCTGAGAATTTATCTCACACTAATGGTGACAAATTGTACGGCTGAAAGATCCTTTTCGAAACTGGAAGTTATTAAAAATAAACTCAGAAATTCCATGACCCAGTACAGATAAAATATTTTGGCTCTCCTTAATATACTTCGACGATTTTGAATAAATTGTATATTAGCCAATTTATTCAGTTGCTCCCTTCTTTAACTTGACCTTAATAGAAACTTTCAACAGATAACCACAAGCGATTTGAGGGCCTCCACCACATGCTCTGCCTATGGGCCGCCGAAGTCTAAATCTGGCGCTGGGTGGAGCCAAAAAACGGAATTCGACAATTCAATATTTCAAAAATAACCACTAGGTCCCCAGAATACGAAATTTTTGCCCAATTTACCCTACCTTGGTCGGTTGAATTGAATATAAAACCAGTTTATATATTTGAACGAAAGTCTAGAAAAAAAAACTTTCACATCACTTGAAATCATTTGTAATAACTTTTACTTTGAAAATGTTGACCTACTTTTTGGTATTTCCTTCAGATTACAATAAGATATTTGAACGTTTTTCAGTCTTGGTACATTCCTAAAAGCAAACGGTTCCAATATGTCTAACTCGCAACCCCAAAAAGATACAGTCAGCAGTTGCACCATATTTCTCACGGAATCCTTTCCTAAGACAGGCACTTTCTGGTTTCTGATGTATGCAAATTTGACAGTCCTTTCTCCAAATTCAATCCTTTCTAAACATCCGTTCACTGTCTGATTGAATTCTACATCGTCTTTATCGACTAACTGAACAAAAACGTTATCGAACGAGTTGCATTTTTCTTCAGAGTACCCGAATTTGATGCTCGTTAAAACTATGATTATTAAATATATACCGACTACTCTTAATTTGGTCATGATAGCCGGGAATATACTAATTCTGTGTCGCTGCACGATTGAAATTTGTTTATAATGTTGTAAGATATATTTCTCGGAACACTTCGTTTGGGGGAATCCAGTGATAGACCAGGAAATGAAAAATAAAAAGTCAGTCTGAAAGTTGTATATTCCTTCATTTTGTCTTTTTCAATAATCACACTCGTTGTGTTGCTAGGTTAGGTTAGGTCTAAAGTGAGTAGGTCTATTCGACCATCCATCGCAACCCGCAAGGGTTTATTGTGGCTCACACCTAATCCCACTCGACCAAATAAACCCAGCTTCTTAACGAAGCCGATCAGTTTGTATGGTGAGTGGTCCTTTAGGTCAGGTCCTTCCATCCATGTGTTCAACACTTGTTTGACAAAGCCTAAAGCGATGCCAATGACAGGTTCTGGTCCAATGAAGCTGCTTGCATCACCCGCCTTTGCAAGGGAGTCAGCAGCCTTATTGCCTTTCAGGCCATTGTGGCCAGGAATCAAGACCAGAGACAATCTGTTAAGTCTTGCTATCGAGGAGAGTCATTTTTGGCAATTGCACCATAAGTGATCATTGGTCTGACAATCATCACATGAATCCAATGGATTTGTTTGGGACCTAAACTCCACAAATCTCTCGACTTGTCAATAGGGACAGTCTGGCTTTGTGTAAAACTTTTTCCAAGTGAGCGTTCCAGGTGAGTTTTCTATGAAGGACAATGTCAAGATATTTCATTTTCCTTCCAAATGGAATGACGTCACCATCGAGGGAAAATAGGTCGTCCAATTTTCTCCTCCTGGTGAAGGGGATTATCACAGTTTTGCTGGGATTGACAGACATCTGCTCCCTCAGGCACCAACTGTGAACAACGTCCAACGTTCTTTGGAGGATATTACAAACTACCCTTTCCGACGTGGACTTTGCCATTGTATTGCTAACTCAAACCCTAGGGTTGGAAGTTTCTCCTCTAGAAAGTTCTAGAACAGTCAGAAACTTTACAGAGTATTCGGAAGAATTCCACAACAATCTAGAACATCCGACAAATTCTGGAATGTTGTGGAATGTTCGGACAGAGTCTGGAATGTTCGTCCCGGAATATCCCAGTTAATCCTAGGGCGATAAAGAGATATGTAGAGTATGTGTTTATTATCCAAGATACATGACCTTATTGACAAACACTGGTAAAAAGAGAACATGTAAATAACTACATCCAGATAAATATACAATGTTGTGGAAATGGCCGCGGTGGTAGTGCGCCCAACTCATGATCGGAAGGCCGTGGGTTCGATTCCCACCTCGACCAGATATTTTTGTCGAGAGAATTTATCTGGTTGAAGCTGGGATGATTCTGCAACCGTGTTAGGAATCATACGTTGAAAGATAAGACCTCGTTAGTCCTTAGCTCGCACAAGTTTCTCAACTTCTGAGAGTTGTCGTTCATATCGGGCGACAGCTGATTAACGGAAAAACAGATTTTAAAACAGAATTACATAATTACCTTGAAATAATACATATAAATAATTACAAATAGGTAAAAGTACACATATATTATAACATATAAGCACCTTCAATTTTATATCGTTTTGTCATTAAAATATTCTTTGGATGCCAGTCTTTCATGTACTTTTTTCTTAAAAGTTTTAAGAGAATATCCATGTACTTTATATCTTCAGGAAGTTTATTATACATTTTGACACCGACATGAATTATTGAGTCTTTGATCAGCGTGTATTTAGGAATGATTAATGATAAATTCATTGCATTTCGTGCAGTGCGACTGTTATTTTCATATAAAGATTTATTCTTGTAAATGAGATACCTAACTTCTAAAATGAAGATTGAGGTTAGTGTCAGTATTCCGTGTTTCAGGAAAAGAGGTTTGCAGGAACTCAACCTATTTACTTGGCACAAATATCGTACTGCTCGCTTTTGCAGCAAAAATACACTCTCAAAGAGTTCGTTACTACACGAACCCCAGAACTGGATTACGTATCTCAATTTTGACTCAATGAGAGCAAAATAGATATTTTTTGCGGCATCATAACCTAACTCTTTAGCTGTAGACCTGAGGGCAAAACAGCCGGATGATAATTTTTTGTTTAGAATGTTATGTGCTCCTATCTGTGAGGAAGTTTTCTGTTTTAACTTGAAAGGCGTGCTTTTGAAGATATTGGGGCAAGAATTTTCGTGTTCTAAAAATGTCCAGAACAGTCGAGATACTCCCCAGGTCATTGTAGGACGATCAAGGGTGTGAAAGCCCTCTATTGATGTCCTTGATTTGATTTCAGGGTTCGAAAAAGCCATTCATCACCAACTAACTACATGAGCAGTCATCACACACCGATGAAACTTTCAAAATAAAAAAATACATAAAAACTGTGGCCCAAATATTGTAATGAATACAATAATTATATCGAACCCTCTATCTCCCACCCAAAAAAAAGTTTTCGTAGTCACCAGTATGGTGTGGTTTTGAAAGTATAGAAATTTCTGAAACAGTTCAGAACAGAAAATGGTTGAAGCTTCCGCAGCCGAGGTTTTCAGTGTCACTATTTTTAGTAATACTCGAATTTTGTTAAACTAGAATTGAATTCAAGTACTTGTAAGTAATTGTTAGTATCAGATGTTTAAATTTGAATACAATTATGAAGATGAGGATGAAGATAAATCAGCTAGTGTTACCAACCACTCGACGCGAAATGATGCGCTTTTGTGTGTTTGATTCAGGAGTTACACTTTTCTGTTGTCGACATAGTCTGTTGCAATTTTTCCAAGCAGGAACAACACTGTCAGTTACTAAAATGTCAGTCTAATCTTGCACAATATTTATGTTCATCAGTTGAAGAGGCCTTGACACTATTGAGATACCTTTGAGTAAGTTCATCGTCTACATATTCCAAACACGACTGGGAGTACAAATTCGGATAAGCACAAATTGGAATTGAATCGACCTCGCACTCAGGCACTTTGACTGAAGTTCCTTTGGTAGTATAAAGCCAGTAGTTTATCCTATCGAGACACGGACATTTCCAAGGGTTGTGGTACAAGAGAACCTCCTCCACGGACATTTTCTTCAGAACCTCGTTGGAAATGAAATTGAGATAGTTGGCGGTGAGCAACAATCTATTGATCTTGATGTCGTTTGGAAAAATATCTTCATTTAGGACCTTCAGCCTGTTGTTTCTCAGTTCCACATATGCCAAATAGGTCAATCCCTTGAAGGCATCTGGCTGGATGTCGCTAATTTCGTTGTATCCGAAGAAAATTCCTTTTAGGTTTGGGAGAGCTGCGAAAGCTTTTCTTGGGATCGTTCTAATTTTGTTATGCTGGAAATCCATAATTTTCAAATTTGGAGTGGCATCAAACCATTCTCTGTTCCAATATTCCAGGTTATTGTGCCTGCAGACCAATTTTCTCAAGGCGGTCAAGTTCGCGAAGGCTTGATTTTCGATGAAGTCTATTTGGTTGTATTTTAAACCCAACTCTTCTATGCTGGAAATATGGTTGAAGACGTCTGCAATCAGAAAAATAAAATGACGGTTTCACAAAAATACATATCGACTATTGAAATAAAGAAAGGATTTATATTGCGCCACATTGATACATCTCATAACATGATTTTGGTTGTCGTGTGACAAGGTTTCTCGGTAAAACTGATATAGAGTGGTCCGTGGAAACGGTACTGATAAAAAAGTTATAAAAAAATATAAAAAAACTGTTTTTATTCCACTTCAAAATATTTAGAACATGTGCGTATTTACACTTTTGACGCAAGGAAGATACTCGCCGAACCTCCACACTTAATTTGAATATATTATAATGTATCCTGTAAACTTGTTACAAATTTTTACTGTTTATTTTATTTTATAGAAAACTTTGTACCTTGCACCTATTTGTTTTTCTGACTCGTAATGAATGTATTTTATACATAACATGATCAAATAAATATATCTATCTATCTATCTATCAGAGAGCAAAAACAGCATATGTGGCTTATGAGCAATGTCGGAGGACAGTGGGACGCGCATGGGGTCTTTGACCCCTTGTGGTCACCTGGATCTACACTGCAATAATAAGACCTATGTTAACGTACGGAGCCATTGCATGGGGACCGAAAGTTCTGCAAGCAACGGCCATCAAAAAATTATATCAAATACAGCGACCGGAGCCATGAGAACAACACCAACCGCGGCAATGGAATTAATTACGGGTCTGGCCCCTCTGGACCTGTACGTCAAGAAGGTTGCGTTAATGGCCATGTTACAATTGCGCCCGGCTGGTGTAAACCTCGAAGTAGGAATGGGTCAATTGAGGCAGAGCCTATGGCGAGAAGCGCTTACTGCGCAACCTCTGCTGCAGGCAACCAGTGATGCAATTGAACCCAGGTTTGTGTTTAATGAACACTACAAATTAAAAATAAAACAGAACACAGAGTCAGATGCTATGAATTCAATACGCATATAAACAGACGGCTCAAAAACCAAAGAAGGCTCAGGATGTGGACTGTACTCCAGATAACTAAGCTTGAGAATTGAGTGGGAAATGGAAAAAATACCAGCGTGGTCCAAACAGAACTGGCTGGTATCTCAATCACCACAAACGAAATAACCAGGAAAGGAATTTCTGGCAAAAACATAACAATCTGCACTGACAGCAGACAAGCCCTATTAGCCTTGAACAGACAACGTGTTACCTCAGGGCTAGTACTAGAGTGCCACCAAGATTTAGCCAAAGCCTCGGTAGATAATAACATTATCTTGAGGTGGGTTAAACAGCACGACAGGAGTAATGTTAATCGCATTGCCGACTGTTTAGCCAAGGAAGCGGCTAAGAATTTTAGGACCCAGTGGTACCTACGGCCGGATGACTTCGACAATTCCAGAACCAGCCAAATGTTTCACCCATGCTCAATCCCTAAAGAGATGAGATGGAATCAAATGATGCAATCTTGCCAGGATCACCCTGGGCGACCCTGGAAAGCTAGCGCTGAAGAAATATCTGGCGATGACCAGGAAAAATCTACGCTTTACATTAGGATTTCTGACTGGCCACTCTCAAGTAAGGAAACACCTCTAAAATATGGGGCTAGTGATCACACCTCTATGCAGGATGTGTGAACAGAAAGATGAGACTGTCAGGCATGTCCTATGTGAGTACCTGGAGTTACCGTCAATAAGAGAGTGTGTGTTCGGCGAGTCTTGGCCTACACTTGCCGATATAAAGGAGATGTCTCCAAGTGACCTCTATACCTTCCTGGAAAGGACAAGATGGACGATGACCTAGGAGGACGACTCCTCAGGAAGATGTACAATGGGTCACATGTGGCCTAAGTGCTGTGGGCTTACACTCACCCTCCCAACTCTACAGATACAGATAGATACACTCGTTCTATTTTTTTCAAGGACAAAACACAAACATTACAGGAAAATCACTGAGGCGCTCTAAGAGCAGTGCCTGTGCGACATTAGTGATTCACACTGGATTTGAATCGCCGGAGATTAAATCCATCTGTAAAAACGTTCTCAGAAAGTTTATTTCACGTAAACGCAGTTATCTAAATAAAAGTCTTCCTGAACAGTGAAGTGCGAAGTGTACTGAGTTGAACCTCAAAACAATGAGCAGCCACAGTCCGTGGCGTATTTCTGATATTTATCGCTCTTGGTGGAATCAAATGTGCCAAGTCACTTGAACACTTCCCGTCTCTATAGGAGAGAGACAAATCTCCAACCTTTCTTCGATGTTCCAGACTATCAAGGTTGCAAGTGATGTTTGCGTCTCCAATCAGGCGGATGGCTCTTTTCTGGATGGAATCCAGCAGCTTCAGGGAATCTTTAGAGGCGGAGCTCTATACATGAGAACAATACTCCAAAGAAGGTCTGATCTGAGCTTTATAAAGCATCAAGAGTTGCTGAGGTGTGTACAGTTACAGGGTTGCTTGTTAACTCTTACCCACGGGCTGGAAGTTTCTCTTCTAGAAGGTTCTGGAACAGTCAGAATCTTCTAAAATATTGGAAAGCATTCCACAACGATCTAGAGCATCTCGAAATATTCTAGAACTTGTGTAATGTTCAGGAACAGTCTGGAATGTCTGGGTGTAGTTATGGATCAGTTAATAATAGGACTATGAAGGGAGATTTGTGGTGTGGTAGCTCCCAATCTCATCTATCCGTGAAGAAGCTTTCCATTTCAACTAGAAAGGCATGCTTTTGAAAGAATGTAGGCTACAGTTTTCGGCTTCTAGGAAATTTTCGATCAGTCGGAAAATATGTCAGATCATTGCAGAACTTCCAAGGGTTTGGGAGCCCTCTGTTGTTATGTCTTTGATTTTATTTCAGGGTTGTTTAAATGAAAACTAGTGTTTATCTATCAATGCATCAAATAATCTCCTGAAAATGCGATTCAAAGAATCCTCATATATTCTTTTGGCAGCTAAGAAATGGCAATGGAAC